TAAATACATAAAATAATATTATATTGAATATTTTAATTTTATATTGAATGTGTATAAAAGTAATACAAATGACATAAATTGTTAAAATAATTCTATAATATAAAAAAGATTTCATTTATATCTTCCCATGTGACGAAGAGACCGACGTTATCACACGGAATAAGAGGGAAGGGGTCTGACCCTAAAAAGATTTGAAGGTTGCCCTATGGATTGAGGAAACTTCCCGTGCATTTTCCCACTTACCCACGAGAGGGATAAGTTAAGGACACTTTTGGTTCTGCTTGTAGGACCCATGCCCTACGTCAAACCTTACATTTATCACTTTTATTTACGGGAATAAAACAATTGAGTTATCCAAAATAACTTTTCTTTTTATCATTTACTTAGTTTTCACTCTTAAAACCCTACGAGAGGTAAGTTGGGTATATTATCTATTTAAAATTACGGCTTTTCTAAAAAAATAATTACGTAAATTATATCAATTGTTTAAATTATTTGACTATAAGATGTCACTTTATTGATTCTTTCAATTATTAAAAGTTATAAAATAATCACTTGATTATTCATATGTTTCAAAATCGTATTTTGCTACTAAAAATTGACGATAATCTAAGATGAATTAACCTACTAATTGATATATGTTAAAAATATAATCTCAAAATCTCAAATGTCTATCATATATCACATATCATGTTAATGTCCAACTCATAAGGTCTTCATTTTTTAACAAAAAAGAATGAGTTTGGAACATATGAATAATTAGATGAATATTTTATAACTTTTAATAGTCAATAGACTCAACAAAACAATGTCATATAATTAGATGATCATTTTGTAACTTTTAATAGTCGGGGGACTATTTGTATACTTTACTCTAGATTTAATTATTATCGATGTTTTTAATTTTATTGAAAAGGAAACCCTTAATTATTAAAGAGATATTAGATCTGGAACATTCATTAAGTTTTCAATTTCAAGCTGAGACTCTTTATAAAATCTGTCCACTTGTGACCTTATTATTTCCCAAATATTCAAATCACAGTCCAATATTAATTTATTAAAATTACATTGAATCTAGATCATCATTCGGGATGAAATCTAGGTTTTCCAAATCACATTCATGCAGTAAATACGATAACAAATTTAGGGTTTCAAAGTTAGTTTTCTTATAATTAAATTCATGGGGGCTACAATTCAGCAATTAATCCTTAGTTTTCAAAGTCGTTTTGGGTAATAAATGGTTTAATTATATATTAAATACTTATATAATAAAAAATTAAAAATAATAATAAAATCACTTTTAACTGGTGTCTTAATACTATAAGTGCATATAATCTCTTGTAAATTTATAATTTGATCAAGGGTAAATTATAAATTCCACCACTTAACTTTCTTTTCACTCCTATTTTGATTATTTAAATTTAGAAGCTTTTAGTTTACTCATTGAATATTAAATTTGCTCCTATTTTGTCACTCTACATTCAATATTTAATGATGTTATGACTGGATATTTTTCTTGATGATGTAACATCTTCTTCCAAATAAAATTCTCAGTAATGAGAGATAGAGAAGGAGAAAGTGAATTGTTTATCATGATTCAACGTTGATCGGATTATGCATATTATAGTAATTTAGGGTTTTATGAGTTTTGGGTTTAATGTTGAGTTTGAGTATTAAAGTGGTTTAGGTAAAATCTAAACTAATATAATGATAGACGACAATGAAACAAATTAATTGATATCTTAATTGGTCGAGAAGATGTCGAATAATAGTAATTGCAACGCTAACATGACATAAAGATAAAACAGTTAAATTTTCATATTTGGAATAATAAGATACAAAAAAAAGGAAAGAAAGAAAAGGAAAAACGACATGGATGACATATGAATTATGTCAATAAAAAATAGTCCATGTAATTACATGTAATTGTCTTGTCACTCTTTCATTTATGATTTAACACTTGAGTGGTCAAAACAAGAGTAAACTAAAAATATTTAAATTAAATTGAGAGTGACAAAAAAGTTAAATGATTAAATTTTAGAATTTATTTTTAATTAAATTAACAATAAGAATAAAAATCCAACTATTTTAATAAATGGAAATTGGTCCCAGCTCACCAATAAAAAAAGAAGAAAGCAACATGAGTATGACCACCGACACGGCAAGTTTATTGTCATGTAGTAATAGAATCTAATTAATTAAGGTAATTAATCAAATATAAAAATGGAATAATTATTTTTTTCTGCGAGAAAAGAAATACAAACCTTAAATTCTTGTCGGTCATGGATTTACATAAAAAAATGTAAGAAAATAGAAAAAATTAAACAGAGGGGCTTTTTTTAATATTTGACCAAAGTTTAAAAGAGGTAGACTCATGTGCCACATGATTTTAGGTAATTGTAATTATTTTTAATTTACATGGTTTAAATGTAAACCTAACCTTCCCCATAAAATGCCTTATAAGACTTGATTTAATATTAGAAAGGACTTATTATTTTAAAATGTTAGTTATTGTGTAAATTAAATTACTGCTCTGCCTACACGAGAATGGTCGGTTCAATTTTTATTTAAAGAGATCTTGGGTCTAAAAAAAATTATTTTTTTTTAATTTTTTTAGTAAATGCCTTATAAGACTTGATTTAATATTAGAAAGGACTTATTATTTTAAAATGTTAGTTATTGTGTAAATTAAATTACTGCTCTGCCTACAACGAGAATGGTCGGTTCAATTTTTATTTAAAGAGATCTTGGGTCTAAAAAAAATTATTTTTTTTTAATTTTTTTTAGTAAAATACACAAATGATCCCCTGACTATAAGATAATGCTTTATTGAGTCATCGACTATTAATAGTTACAAAATAATCTCCCAATTATAGAGAGTTTCTTTGTTGAGTCTTTCGACTATTACAAGTTACAAAATGGTCATCCAACTGTTCATTATGTTTCAAACTAGTCATTTTCCGTTAAAAAATTAATGGCAGTATGAGTTGGATGTTAACTTGCTAACTGGGATATTATAAAATATGATCTCATAATCTCAAATGCTATCAATAAGCAAGTTAATGTACAGCTCATACGACCGTTATTTTTTAATGGAAAAGGACGAGTTTGAAATAATGAATAGTCGGATGAACATTTTGTAACTTTTAATAATTGAGGGCTCAACAAAGAAACTTTCTATAATTGAGGGACCATTTTATAATTTTTGATAATTGATGACTCAACAAAATAGTACTCTATAGCCGAGAGAATTTTTTTTTGCTTGATAAATTTTTTTCCATTCTAGTGAATTTACGAATATCGATATTATTACTAATTTTGATTATTAAATCTTAATTTTTATCGTTAAAATATTATTCCTACATAATATGATCCATGTCACATTATTGTTTAAAAGAAAAATATAAAAAAGTAAATATAATAGTTTAGTTTAATTGCCATAATTATTAATACATTATATAAAGAACGCAACATTAAATATATTTAAATACTTAATATTCTCTAATTTATGGGCGAGGAAAAATTTAACTAGTAGTAACATTGTAATAAAAAAAAATTCAAAATCCATTTGTAATTGCCAATGAAGCCTTCGCTTAATAGTAAGATCATATTAGTTAACAAAGTTATGTTGGGACTGAGATAAATCATTATAATTTAGGTGTCAAAGTTGAAATATTTTGTGTTAAAAAGGGTTAGATTGAATTGTTTATTTGTTTAGATAACTAAACATGTTTAATTGCATTGTTTATATTTATGAGGGACTAAAGGTTCTATATAACCATTTTAGCAAGGGAGGCAAGGCCATTTAGTTTAACTCTCGAAATTTAAACCCTACATCTAACTACTAAGATATTCATATTATTATTACTATTACCGTCATTAATTTTACCGTTATTGATGTTTTTAAACATGAAAACCCCATTTTTACTGTCATTGGTAAAAACGAAATATTCATTTATGGTAAAATGTTTTTGTTAAGAAAGAATTGGTCCTGGAATGGCAACGCGTATTGAGCACATGTGGGAATGGGTTTTTAGCTGGCAAAATGCTCAAATCCCATTTGTACCATAATATACGCATTTATTTATTACTTATCATTGAAATCAAAATATCCATTTTTCAACATCCAATTTATTCCTCACTTTCCATTCCTAATTTAATCCTAACAATTTGGTATTGATGTTGCTTAAACTTCAACTCCTTTATATATTTATCTAATTCAGAATTTCATCCCTTTACTTTACGAAACCTTTAAAGTTAGTCCCTTTAATATTTTAGAACTTAGGTGTTATGTTTCATGAAAATTGAAATGTTTGAATCATGTTGTTAGTAGACACATGAACTGTTTCTAAAGATTTTAAGGGACTTATTTGCCACTTAAGTCTTTTCTTCAAGGGTGGCAATGTTATTCCTTACCCTTTGATTACAACCCTATGCCCCATTTTAAAAACTAAACACTTTTATGTGATTTTAACTTACTCTATATTTGATAATATTTTTATTCTGATCCTATTAAACAAAAATATTTTTTATTTTACTTGATAAATAAAGAGATATCTCTCTCTATATATTTGATATTATAATAATTATTTTAATTGAATCAAGATTTTTTTATATCTTAAATTAGACTTTATCTCAATTCTAACTCTGTCATTCATAAAATTAATCTCAAACTAGAATTAAAAAAAATAATTTTATGTAGTTAATTCAGATCAAAATTCATTGAATTCAAGTATTTTGACCATCTCAATACACCCTAATTTTTCAGTTTTTATATAGTACAATAACCAAAATCTAACAAATTGGAGTAACTAATTTCTTAATTTTTACAAAGTAGAGGGATGAAACTAAAAATTAGAAAGGTAAAGGGAAAATAGTTAAAACAAGCCAAAGAAAGAAAGTGGTTTCCAACCATTACCAACTCCCTGCCCCGTTTTCTCTTTTATTTATTTTCTCTCTTCTCTCTCTCTTTATAATCCTCCATCCAACATTCGTCACATCTTCAGGGCTCACTGAAAATCAAGCTCTCTTCTTCCATTTTTCCCTCTCCATTTTCTCCCCAGCCAAACAGTTTTTTTTTTCTTTCAATAGAAACCAAAATGCCAGCACCACCGGACACAAGCAAAACCATGAAACTGGAGAGATACAACAGCTATCTCCGAAAACTCCATAGCACAAAGCTGTTGAATGCTTCATCTAAATTCCTTTTCCGAGTAACCCTTCTCATTGCTTTAGTTTTGATCCTCTTTTTCACAGTTAATTACCCTCCACTTTCGGATGGTACCCACCGTGTTCCCCCTCTCCACCGCCACAACCACCATAGCTTCCTCTCCACTTCGCTTTTCTCCGGTAGTTCTCTCGTCGGGGGCGCTTCGTGGGAGAAACAAGTCCGACACTCTTCTACGCCTCGTAGACTCAATGGGTTCTCCGTTTTAGTCACCGGTGCCGCCGGATTCGTTGGCTCCCACTGTTCGCTTGCTTTGAAGAAACGCGGCGATGGGGTTCTGGGCCTTGATAACTTCAATGACTATTACGATCCTTCGTTGAAACGAGCGAGGCAGAATCTTTTGAGCAAGCACCAGATTTTTATCGTCGAAGGTGATTTGAACGACGAGGCGCTGTTAACGAAGTTGTTCGACGTCGTTCCGTTCACTCATGTTCTTCACTTGGCGGCTCAGGCCGGCGTTCGTTACGCCATGCAAAACCCACAGTCGTACGTGAGATCCAACATTGCCGGGTTCGTTAATTTACTGGAAGTAGCCAAAGCGGCGAATCCACAACCCGCCATTGTTTGGGCTTCGTCGAGCTCGGTTTACGGACTCAACACCGAAAACCCATTCTCCGAACGTGACCGTACGGATCAGCCGGCGAGTCTTTACGCCGCCACGAAGAAAGCCGGCGAGGAAATCGCCCACACTTATAACCATATCTACGGTCTGTCCTTAACCGGGTTAAGATTCTTCACCGTTTACGGTCCATGGGGAAGACCCGACATGGCTTATTTCTTTTTCACCAAAGATATCCTCCAAGGCAAACCCATCGACATCTACAAAACCCACGACGAAAAAGAGGTGGCGCGTGACTTCACCTACATCGACGACGTCGTGAAGGGTTGTTTAGGTGCGTTAGACACTGCGGAGAAAAGCACCGGAAGTGGCGGGAAGAAGAAAGGACCGGCTCAATTGAGAGTTTACAACCTGGGGAACACATCGCCGGTCCCCGTCGGGCGATTAGTATCGATCTTAGAAGGATTGCTCGGCACAAAAGCCAAGAAACACGTGATCACGATGCCCAGAAACGGCGACGTACCCTTCACGCACGCCAATGTAACCTTAGCTTACAAAGATTTCGGGTACAAACCCACAACCGATTTAGCTTCCGGGCTGAGAAAATTCGTGAAATGGTACGTTAATTACTTCGGGATCGAATCGAAAACGGCGAAAGGAACCCAGCATGCCGATGAATCCAGTTAAGATCTTCGAAGCTGCCATTTTCTTTCTAATTTTCCTCTTCATTTTTTTGTGTTTATTGTGGTGAATTATAGCTGTAAAAAGAAGGGATCAAATCTGGTGCCGCTGTTGTTCATGTAGAATATTTGATAGATTATTATAGAATTTTCATGAAATATAGGGGAAATGGTAAATGTGAAAAACAAAGAGAGAAAGCTGTAGATCTCTGGAGATGAGGTGTAATAATTTGGTGGGGTCTGCTAAAAACAAGGGCAGATCTTCACCGTCTATTTTATGAAAAGAATGAAAAATGATATTGTGATCGAACAACAATGATTATACTAAGATTCTTGTTTAATTATGAATATAGTGCATATTTCAAATTTATTTTTATTTTCATAATATTGTTAATTAATTTATAATCTCAATAAATAATTAAAAGAAATACTATACTCCTTAAATATTTTAGATTCAAGTATTATATTTTCTTTCATTAAAATTATAATATATATTAGCTTATAGTATCTCCAAATTAATTTTAAAAAAATTATATATTGTTAACTACTTTTTAATGTTAATGTGCATTTTCTAGAGAAAAAATATGTCAATCAACTGTTTAACACTGTATTTTTATACCTAACGACAAACAATTTTGTCTAATCAAATATTTGTGTTCGGGTGTATTTCTTAAATTTTTATTAACAAATCAGTCAAATGGTTAATAATTTAAACTAATTAATAATTTCAATTTCAATCATATAATAGAATAACTAAAGTAAATATTTGATTTTTTTTTCAACTCTCTTTTAAGATCTCAATGATGAAACAAACTATAATCTTAATTCCATATTTAATCGAATAATCGGTATTATAAAATGAAATGGAAAAAACAAAATAGTAATTACAACGTTAACAAGTCACAGACTGAAACTATAAAATTCAACAAAATCAAAAAGTAACATGAACGACATAGCACCCATGAATTCCACGTCAATCAACTATAATGATCAAAATAGTAATTTATTAAATGAAAAGATAGTTAATTTATACAGTTTGTAATTTACCTTAATACTATCCAAATTTAAAGGATTATTATTTAGATCCGAAGTCAAAGAATCCGTTAAATTTTAATTAAAAATATATTAAACCCCAAAAAGAAGATAATGTGACTTGTTTATTTAATTTTCGGAAGAACAATAATTGGTGAACTTTCCAGGGTAGAAGACTTCATAATCAAGCTTTTTTACATAACTAATTAAATAAAAGATAAGTAGACAAAGACCCCACTTCCCCTCCTTACTTTCCACGTATCATGCCATGATTATCCTGCACTATTTCTGGATACTCACCACCGACACTACCATTAACTCTCAGAGAACGTGAAATAGAGGATAGAACAGATAAAACTCAACAGATGACCGATAAAATACTCACCATCGATTTACCGAATCAAAATCGTTGTTTACCACTTCATCAGGGATGCAACCAATGATCGTACCTGTAACTGCGTTCGCATTAATGATAATGCAAGCAGAATCGATGAAGTTGCCCTGCAATGTAAGTTGAGATTACATGCAATGAAGAAGATATGTTAGAATCGTACCAAGCGAGGTAATGATAAACAATGGGAAAAATTTGACCTTATAGCATAAAGTTATAGGCATAATATAGCATAAGTTCAGCAATCGTTGAAAATAAATACACATCCTTGAATCTTAATAACTACTTGCTACAGAAGAAAGTCCTTGGACAAGTTCCGATTCGAGAGCCTAGAATTCTGAATCCCCTCCAAAGCCACCTCTACCACCACGGAATCCACCACTGTTGCCACCAAAAGAACGAGGGCCACTAGGCCTTTCAGTAGCATAGCTGACTCGAATATTTCTCCCATTGAGTTCCTGCAATTTCAGTATAAAATTATTAATTTGTCATTCATCAGGAACATGTTGCATATATCAGTAAATTTTGTTTTCCTCACTTGTCCATCCATGGCTGACAAGGCATTGTTGGCAACTTCATCATCAGCATAGTTAACAAAACCAAAGCCCCTAGACCTCCCAGTCTCTCTATCGACGATAACCCGAGCTGATAAATTACAGATCAGAGAGTGCAAACAATAATAGATATCAACATCAATACCATAAAAATTTTAAAACTTTCTTCATTTTTATACATTATGCCAGTAACATGTCTTCCTACACGGTACACAAAAAAACAAAATTACAATGATCAAAATCATCAACAAGCGGAGCAAGACAAACTAGTTGCAACTTCGATTAAAACACAAAGCAACACACTCACTGGCACTATCATTAATCAACATCTACAAGAAAACTAAAAGGCGGAGATATATTATGCAATAATCGGCAGCAAATATCCTACAATGTAACCTTGTTTATCTGTTTCATATTAAATGCTAGCTTCTATTTCATATAAGCTAATAAACCAGTCAATAATAATGTAATAAACTTAATAATGTCATTATAACTACCAATACAACTCACCTTCAGTAACCTCACCAAATCCAGAAAAGGCTTCCTTGAGAATTTGGTCATCAGTTCCATATGAAAGACCTAAGAACCAAACATTCAATACAAGTCAAAATACAAAGCAAAAGATATCAACATCTAGTTCCCAACCAACAAACATGTATATATACCTCCAATGAAAAGCTTTTTGCTCGACATGCAACGAAGAGAGTTAAGCATCGATGATATCATTGGGGTTTGCCCATTCTGTCTCAAAAGGCTTCCGAGTTTGCTAGAAAGTGACATTATAATGCTCGACTGTATCATTTTTTTTCATAGCAACACCATCAAAAGGAACAAAAACAAATTAATATGTTAGTTCAGAGCTAAAATAGTCTAACTAGTAACCAAAACAAAGAAAAACATGAAGCTTTATAAGTCCCTAAAACAAATTTTATTAAATTAAATACAGAAGTGTTTAAAATCTCACTAAAAATTATAGCTTTATAGGCCAGTTTTCTTCAATCATTTTTCTTATAGGAAAGGGTTTAAAACTGGTAAAAAATCTACATCTTTCATATATCACATGAACAAGAAAAACATTATAAAATAAGGGTAAGGTGATTCATGATGCCAAAAACATAAAAGCAAAAGAAATCCATAAATAAAATCAACAAAACAAGGTAAATTAACTCAAAAGGCTAAAATACCGTAACAAATAAGAACCCCGAACCCAGATAACATCAAAATTGAGTAGATGGGTGAGTATAATCGAGACCGAATTATCAAAAGCAATGATGCTTACCTTTAAGAAGAAAAATGAAAGGCAAAATTATGAGAGAGAAGCAGAGTTTGGGGAAACGGCTTTAGGGGTTTTGAAACAAAAGATGTAAGCAAGCGGCTAGGGTTTAAGAGTCAGCCCCTTATATATCCTTTATTTGCTTATCATACAAAAGATGTTAGCCCTTGAACTCATGAAGGGATAAAGCAACTATTAGACCTTGAACTCAAAAGTGTTCCCAAACCGGTCCCTACTTTTTTTCCTACATTAGTCCCTAAATTTGGGCTTCTCATTTTGAAAAAGAAGAATCATTTTAGATTTTGGACTTCTCAAAGATGAAGTTTTTCTTCCACGGTTTGAATTGTGGAGAATATTGTTGGTGAGAGGAAGAATATATCTCAAGACGAAAACTAAGTAGACAATGTAGATTAGGGTTTAAATTTTTTTAAAAACTTTTGTGTAATCTTATGACTTTTAAAAAATTCTTTTAAATATAATTTAATGAATTAAATACAAGATCAAAATGAATCTTATGATAAATTTTGGATTCATCAACTATTGTACACGATGACCGGTAATAATAGATGGTGTGGCATATGAATTAATTGTTAAATATAATTAATTGTACGACTTAATTTTAACTACAAATATAATAATATACGAAATAAAGTCATGTGCTATTTAATAATAAAATGACTTGTTTTTTAACAATCAGTTAATTAAATAACTCATTTCTAACTTCTTAAAATTGAATAATTCACTTATAATCTTCCCAATAATTGAGTGATTCTAAAGTCTAATTTACCCTGTTTTTAAAAAGTGTAATTTACCCTAGTTTTAAAAGTCTAATTTAACAAAAATATCTCATAATACATATATATTTATATATATTCCAAGTGACTCAAATTTTATTAAAAATAAATTTATTTTGTATTAAATTATGGACCAACAATAAGTTGGTCTAGTGAGATGAAATACTAGATCTCTTAAACAAAATCATAGATTTAGATTTTGTTAAAAATAATAAAATAACTAAAATAAAAATATTATTTTTATTTGTAGTTAGTTTTTTAATTAATCTGTGGGAAATACAAGACAATATATGTTCAAATAACACTTTCAATCATTTGACATTGAACGCCCATACCCTTAACATTCATAGTGCTTGAACTTGTGACCTTAAGGAATAACAACAATTTATTTACTATCAAAATTGTTTGATTCGTGTTTAATTTTAGTTAAAATTTATATGTTTTTGTTTTCGTTGAGGCCCATCAAAAGAGACGATCCCTCCAAAAATGGGGTATGTAGTGTCGAACGCATGTGATGTTTTGGGTATGTTTAGGGTACACTTCATAATTCATAAGAAAGAGTGTGGTTATGTTTGGAGATTTTTTTATTTGAATAGTTATATTTATAAGTATGTATAAATTATTAAAAATTGAGAGTATATTTTTTAAAAATATTATCTTATAATCTTTAAATTATTTAAAATTTATTTTACATAACCCTAATGAAATTAGGGATGTGTATGGGTCGAGTTCGGTAGGGTTTTTTGTCCACCCGACACGGCTCGAGAACAATAAATCCTTCACCTGAAATCCGATCCGATTAGAAAAAAAATAAGATCTGACCGACCCGATCTGAACCCTACCCGATATATAACTTAAAAATCCGATTCGACCGAAATAAAAAAAAATATTATTTTTATTAAATAAAAAATGATTTAATTGAAAAAATAAATAAATATAGGGGTATTATTGTAATTATTTATAAATATAAAGTAAATTATGTATTTTTCGGATCGGATTGAATATTTTTCACCCTAAATTCGAACTCGACCCGACCAAAACATCATATTGAAAAAACTCAATTCAACCCCAATTTTTAAAAAAAACTCAATCCGATTAAATCGAGTCAAAACCCATCGAATTAGGCTCTCATGTGCATCTCTAAATGAAATAGTATTAGCGATTTAATTATTGAAACTGAGACCGGAGGAAGCATGAACACACGGGGAAGAGTATTGAGACTCAATCATCCAACATTTTCCCATTTGTTTTCCCAAGGGGAAATGATAAGCTTACATGTGTATGGACAGATGGGTGATTTGATAGGTTGGGGGTGTTGCCACGTGGTAATTCTCCACTACTTTGAGAAAATGGCAACCTGCCAAGGTGAATATTCTTTGTTACTACATGATTTGGCCACAACCACATAAATGTTTTTGATTACTTACAATTGTAACATGTTTTAAAGAATATTAATATATTATTTAATAATTAATTAATTTAAATTGAGTATCATAAAAATGTACTATAAACTTATTTTTATTCAAGATGTTAAAACTTGAATTCTTAATTTTGTTTAAAAGATTTAATTTTTCATTCCGTACAAACAATAACGTTTAAAGTAAAAGATGATGAAACAAAGAAAAACATAACGATAGGAGTAAAGAGGAGAAAAGTTATGTTTAAATAATTATTTTAATCATTATTTTTTAAAAATTATAAAATAATCATTAAATCTATTAAATTATTACAAAAAATCACCACAATCTTGTAACAATTGTAATTTTTTTTACAAATGTAATGATATTTTGCAACTATTTGATAAAATTTAATTATATTTTTAATAATTTGATAAATTTAATAATTATTAATAATATTTTAAAATTTAATAATTAAAATAATTATTTGAACATAGTTCAAAGACTTCTTATATACTCCATCCTTCTTTATCATGTATATATATAGGGTAAACTATATGTTTTAGTATATAAACTATCATTTTCATTATGTTTGATATTTAATATATTTTTTAAAAAATTTAAAATCATACTTAACGTTTATTTTGTGTTTCATTTTAATATCATCGCTGTTAAAAACTTAATATTGATATTGATGTGTCACTATAAGATAATGACAAAAATATTGAAAAAATAAAAAATATAATGTCAAAATTCTATTTTTTTAAAGATAGGATAACAAATTAAAATTGAAACATTAAGTATGATTTTAAAAATAAATTTTGGATATCAAAATGGAACAATTCTATATATTTATATGTTGTTATTCCTAAAAATCGTAAGTTTAAACGACTATATCTGCACAAGGTATATGCATTATCAATATCTAGTAAAATATTGAATAAATATTATGTTGTAATCACATGAAAAGATGGAACTAATTAAAAGAAATAAAAATAAAGATTAAATTAAAAAAATATAAATGCAAGGATTAAAAGTCACTTAATGGTATAAGATGAGTTATGCAATATTATTTGGGCCACTTTCTTCTTCGGCCTCTCTTTATTAATTAATTAATTATTTTGAATTAGATTTTCTTCCCATTTCCTCGCGTGCAACTTCCGAAACAAAATAACAATAATAATAAGGCCTTCTAACAAAGAAGAGCTCTTTATTTTTCTCCAAATACCAAAAAAAAAAAAAGCAGAGAAAAACAATCACATAACAGGTTGACAGAAACTGGAATTGAACTTTTGCTTACTTGTTCTACTCATCTCTGTAATTTGTGATTTTGTAATCTATTTTTTTCCATTAATTCAAGAGCAATAATAAAGAAAAAAAAACGATCTTGTTCATTCCTACAATGCCCAATTTGTTGCGGGCAAGGTATTAATCTAATCTAATCTTCCTTATTACCTTCAAATTTTGTTTTATTTTATGAACTGATTTTTGTTTAACACTTACGCTTTGAATCAAAACTTTCTTTTTGGCTTTTGGTCGATACCCATTTACTCTTATGCTACTCGGAAAAAAAAATAAAGTTTCTTTAAAAAAAAACTCTTTTAGGTTTTTTTTCTTTGGTTTATTTGTTGGATAAAATTGGGGTTTTCTCAAAGTTTTTTTTATTTTTTTATTTTATTGAATGGGTACTTGATATTTGCTCAGTTGAAGTTTTGTTTGATTGGGTTTTTTTCTTTCTAGGGTTTTCTTCCGGATCAACAAATTGGGGGGAATTTCCCGAATTGGGAACTGATTAGGGTTTGATCAGTGTATAAATGAGCTCAATCTCTGTTTTTGCAGTACCGGATAGGAGAGCTATCTCTTTATAGGTTTAAGTTTCAAACAGATTGCTTAAGGGAAATGGTGATTGAAAAGCTTTTGGACATGGAAGAAGATTGCTTTCCTAATTAATTCCGTAGATAGTGATTCAAAAGCTTGAGGATTTACTTGTTTTAGAAGAAAGGGTGCTTGGGTTTTTAGTGATTTTTATGTGGTTGATCTCAATTGGTGGATGATTTTGGCATTGGGTTATTGTTGGGAGGAGGAGGTGATGATTCTTTTTTATGCTGCAGATAACAGAGAGGCTCAGATTGTACTGGACTATTTTTGTTTCTTAAAAACCCATTTGGTTTATCTTAGTTTTTGAGCAACAATTCTTGATCAATAGATCATTTTTATTTTGGGGCATACTTGAAGTAGCTTAGGGTAAGACAACAGTAGGTGTAGCAGTGATTGAAGACTTTGCTGTGGTGATGTTTGTCATTTAAAGTGGTTTGTTTAGTGTTAGTTGAATTACATTTGAGGTTAGGGAGATTAAAGAGCTTGGTGGGTCTAGGAACTTTTTTTGAGCTATCAAAAGTGGCGGGGGAGTTCATGGGGCAGCATTGAAGCTGGAAATGTATGTAGGGATATGGTGCATGGATAGGAGCATAGTTACTGGTTGTTCCCTTCCCGGAACATTGCTACTGGTAGATTATCCAAGTGTTTTTGTGTTCGGAAGGCATTCTCGTTTTGTGTTCTGAACTTCTGTGAAATGTCGCGTTGCTTTCCTTTCCCACCACCAGGATATGAAAAGAAGGCTAGGACTGATAATGTTGACTTGCTAAATAAGGTTAACACCATTTACTTGTATTCTATACTATTTTTTTATGGTAGAATCAGCATTCATTAGTATCATTACGAGAACGAATTCCCTGATATCTGAATTGAATTTGAGTTTGTGCTGTTCAGTTTTTATTTTCAAGCGATGTTAAATGCTCTATAAAGTTTTTACTGTCTTCTCTCAGAATGTATTTTATGTATACATAATGTTCTGTGATTTGCTTTACTAGTAATTCTGTTATGGCATGCCTTGCTGAATGAAGCTTGTATATAATTTCATAAATAGGTTTATGGACTGTATATTATGAACACATTATATAGAAATACTTTTCAATATATATAGGAATAAGTGGTTGAAATGGAGCCTTATTTTAAATGGCATATCTTATATACTAACCATTAGGCACTGGTGGTGATATTTATGACTGAATGATTGTATATATCAATATATGTCATATTTTTCTATTATGGTTTTCTCTGGTGATACATTTAGGTTCTTATAACCTCTAAATATGCGTGGCACGAATTTTTGTCAGTATTCCGTTGAATGAAGGATTAAGTTGGGTTAACATCTTTCACCTTTTCTTTCTCCTCGCTAGAGAAAAACTTCTACTAAATGGTGTTAGGCTTGGTCCAGGGATCACATGAATTTAATGTTTTTTCTTCAAGATTTTGTGGATTTATCAATCGTCCTTCTGAATGTGTTACTTTTAACTTTTGTTCTTACTGAGGGCGACAATCTTGTTTACAACCTTCGATAAGTAAGGAGTTGAGTGTGTAGTCAAGCTTGTCCTAGGGTTTAGCTCCCATCCTCTACTTTTGTGTCCGTTACTATTCGATTCAAGTTTGATCACCATTTACAAGCATGACTTTCACAATTAATGAATGAGGTAAGGTCCTACAGATTTGCATGATTTTGATTAATGCATTGGAAAGTAATGGATGGAAAAATATTGGATAGGATATCTACCTCTTGTCCTATTGGTTTGAGTATAAAGTTTTTAATTAAGAATGCATGCTACTTTTGATTGACTTGAACTATTATTTTTCTCTTGATGGCGAGTAAGGTGAGAGTTCCTGTTAGGCAAAATTGTGTCATAGTAATCATTTTCAACATTCCTGAGAGTTTTCATTACCAAGGTCTTTGATTATTTTTTGATAAATATGGCGAGGGGGTTGATTCTTTCATCCCTAATAAAAGAAGCAAGGGAGGAAGTAGGTTTGGATTTGTTCGTTTCACCAGACTGGAGGACGCGAGGAAGGCTATCAACTGTGTTGATAGTTCTTGGATTCAAGGTAACAAAGTTAGAGTTTTCATGGCGAGATATCATCCTCGTGATGTTTTATGGAGGAAGAAGTTCTCTGGTCCATATCCAGTCGAGGGCAAGAGTGTGGTGAAGGATGTTAGTCATACGGAGGCTCCCTTTGTTGGTTCTGTTGACGAGAGTAAGCTTTCAACTCTCAAAAACAACTTGGTAGAATGGTGCAGAATTTTTATTAAGTGGGTAGAGTCGTCTTCGTTGGAAGAGGCAGTCGCATCCCCGTTATCCAAGGTGGGGGAGCTCGTTGGTGTCTCTCCAGTTAAGTTTCCCGAGTTGGAGGTGTGTGCTGAAGAAGCTGGTAGAAACGTTAACTCATCGGAGGTGCAGTGTCTCGGGAGGTGTTCTGAGGAAGAAGAAAATGCTTTCTGTTGTATGGGGAGTGGGTCTAGAGGTTGCTTCTTGTCGGGTGAGGACGAAAGGAACATAGGCGAGGAAATGATGAGGGGTCTGAGGAGCGCTGTTGTGGGTCAGGGGACGGTTCATTCGAAAATTGAGGAGGTGGGGGAACTCGAGACAGAGCTGGTGCACGCGGAGAGAGAAGCAGTGGATGTCTATAAGGATAGGTGTTTGTCTGCACGTGGCTATGAGGGTTCGAAGGATTATTTTTCAGATTTCCCCATGTTGGATGGTCGAGTTGAGTCAAAGGTGGTGGAGGATGTGCTTAAAGAGGGCCTTATAAATAATTGTGCATTCAATAGATTAAATGGTGAGGCCATGCTGAACCGGGGAACAAAGGAGGTGGAACACGAGATAGTGCTGGTTTTTTAGGGGAGTGGGGCAGAAAATGTCAACAAGAATTATTGCATGACAGCACGTGCTAATGAGGGAATGAAGGATTTTTTAATTGATTTGCCCATCAAAGGTGGTGCACGATCTTTAAGGATTGATTCATTCTTGCACATTTCCAGGCAGAAACACAGAGTTAAGAAGGGGAATTATAATAATTATACCTCTCTCCATTCTTTTCATGACAAAAAATCGGCTCCTCAAAGGAAGAATTATCACTGCCGAAGCAAGTTTAAACAGAATAAGGTGCAACGCGAGGATCCTGCAGGCAGATTCCTTTATGATTTGGAATTTCCAGCATTGGGGCAGAATCTAAAGAAGGTAGAGACAGACTCCTTAACGTTAGGGAAAGATCTGGATTTTGAGTCTGGAGGCTCAGTAGTGGTTCTGTTTCCGGAAGATTACGGCAATGGAAGTTTTGGCAGATGAATTACATATGATCTTTGTTTTTGGAGTTGGAAGTTCGGTTGCTCTCCGTCGACAAGATGAGCAATATGGGGCAGTTTGGAGGAGATTCGATGCTTGCTCTTCTGCATCCGTTTTATGTGGAAACTCTTGGCCTTTGTGGATGATCTTGGTGTATATGGATTGAGTCGTCTGTTTTATTTGGCTTATATTATAGTTGTTTGGTGTTGTGGTGTCTTTCGGGCCAAGCTTAGGTTTTAAGTGTGGTCAGTCCTATTTAAGGCCGTTGTTCTAGCTAAGGTGGATTAGGCAGAGTTTTTGCTGTTTTTTAGGTTTATTTTCGAATGTTTCTGGTGTTCTGTTTATGTTGGGGGTGAATTTCTGGTTGTACCTGGTAATTTCTTATGTTCAATGAAATTCCAAGGCACTCTTTTCCTCCTTCCGATGATTAAGGAGTTTGTCTTTAAAACTCCTTTAATCAAGAAGGGGGTTTTTAACGAGGCCTTCAATTCCTATAAAAAAAAATTAATTAAGAATGCATGCATTAGCTTGGTGTCTGTTTTTACCATATCTGGAAGAATCGGTTTCTTACCAAGTTTTGACATTCATATTATATGTTAGAATAGTTGAACCCATATGCACTTGTGTTTGACATTCTTAGGACGGTCGTTAATGTTTTATCATATACCTTCAATTTCCACTGTCATAACCTTTCAAGACTGAGTACAAAGGGTTTTTTGAGATAATTATCTTCTACGACGACCTTTAAGTAATCCTGTCAAAATTTCTTGTTACATGAGTGATATATGATTTGTTGATTAAGGTATTTTCGTAGGTGACTGTAACTTGGCGCACAATTTATCTTTGGTTTATATATAAAATAGGCTCCTCTAATTGGACTCAAATCAAGTGAGCCCCTTGTTTGAATCATGGATCAAATGATCCCTTATATGAAAAACAGCGATCAAGTGAGCCCTTATTTGAAAAATCGTGAAGGGAGCTGTTATACATACAAGCCTTCATCTTTTAGTAATTACTTTCAACTTTTGCGGGTTACTGAACATTTGTTTGTTAGTTTCTGAGTTGTATACATATTTCTTTTGCATTTGATTTATGAATCTATGTTTTTCTAACATTATTCTTAATTTTCAGGAGAAGCAAAAAGAGAAGAGTCATAAGAAGGAGAAGGAGAAGGAGAAGGAGAAGGAGAAGAGAGAAAAGAAGGAGAAAAAAGAGAAAAAAGAGAGAGATGGAACCGACGGAAAGCACAAGGATAAGGATAAGAAAGACAAAAAGGAAAAACACAAAGACAAAGACAAAAAGAAGGAAAAGGGCGTAGATAAAGAAAAAGATAGAAGTAATAATTCAGAGGAAAATAAATTTCCTGGTCATCCCGATGTTCAAAATGGGGAGAAGATCTCAGATGATAAAAAGTTTCCGGGAAAAGCTGACAGTCACAGTGGGGAGAAGTTCATCCAGAAAGAGAAGGGTAGGGATAAAGATCGAAGCAGTTTTTCAGGTGAGAAGAAACTTGCTGGGCACGTTTCAGGTTATAATGGGGAGAAGATTGGCCAGAATAGTCATCTGGTTGAAGATTTCCGGAATTCTAAATTTGTGCAGGAGTTGGCGGGGAGGGTCAGAGATGAGGGTGCAGGAGATGGAAGCCAATTGGTGAATAAGTTTATGGGTAGTGACCGGAAAAAGGATGAGGGAATGGTCAGGTTTGTGGCTAAGACTGCTAATAAATTGGCTGAAGAGAAGGAGACAATCAAGAAAAGTGGTGATAGGAAGTTCAATGTGCAAGGAATCAGGGAGGAGACGAGAGCCGGTGGAAATGCTATGGTTCCAAACCTTGCTGGAGCAGCGAAAGCTAGTGTTGAAGGGATTCCCAAACAAGTGGAGAATAATGCTGAGAGGCGTGGGGAAGGGAAAGAAAAAATCAAAGAAAAAGGTGATGATAAAATCAGGGATAAGCGCAAGGAGAAAGACAGAGAGAAGAAAAGTCACGGGAAAGATAAGAATAGGGACAAAGCGAAGGAGAAGGCGAAAGGTGAACATAGGAATTTGGAGCTGGATAACTTAAAAGGAAGCAACAAAGATGACCTTCTGAATACTTTTAATCTGAAAACATCACATCCTTCTAAGGAGGGAAACAAGGGTGCTGTTACCGAGGAAAATCTCCGCAAGCGGAAGGACATGGAGAAAAATGGATTTCTTCATGGTGAGTTTTATGCCATGATTGTATATATACAATCCCATTGATCACTTGAAAACTTTTTTGGTGTTAGTTTAGGTAGGTGATCACTTGAACCTTTGGTGCCTTTTATCTGTTACAAAACCTGTGAATAAAACCGTGCAATTCCATTCATGGCTATAAGTCGATTATCATTTTATCTTAGAAGGGGATGGGGTTCGAAAGCTCTATAACCATCATGGTGACAAGTTCTGCTTTCTTTCTTTTTTTCTTACAGCTGATGATGTTAAACCCAATAAGTTACACAAAATTTCTTCCTCTCAATCGTTGACAGGCAATGGAAAGACATTGGAGAATTGTCAAGCTCGCATTCCACTTACTTTAGATAGCAAGGGACCAGGAACCAGTCTTAAAGTCGAGCATAGAGGACGCAAGTTGAATGATATTGTTGAAGCTCAGCTGTCATCTGTCTCCCCGACAAAGCATTTATCATCAAGTGCACAAGCTAGTCAACTCGATGAAGTGTCTATCAAACTACCTCATCCGGACTCGAAGTATTTGAGCCAGGTACTTTCTGTGCCCAAAATGGAAGAATGGTCTGATGTTGATGACCAATCATGGCTATTTCGCAGTGCTGAACCGCAATCAAAGAAACCCAAGGAGGGATTTTCGGAGATTGATGAGTCACAAGTATGGGCAGAGGCTCTGCAGATAGAGTCGGCAGATATTTATGCTCTTCCATACGTTATTCCATACTGATTATCTTTATTAGTGGGCACATGGTTAACCCTCCTACACTGCAGCTGGGTTTTGCCCTTTGGGGGCGGATTCTTTGGTTTTCTATTCAGCATTCTTTTGTTGTCGATCTCGAGTGTTGCAGTGAATGTTTTTGAACAACTGGCTGCCAAGCTGCTCTGTTACGGCAACCATCACTTTGCTCTATCAGGTCATTCGACCTCCTGGAAGTGTAGGCTGTGTATTTGCGTCCTGGTACAAGACAACTAATTCATTCAAATCACACGAAGCAATGAAAGCAACCGAATGACGGTGCCTAGGAAAAGGTAATGTATAACCTTGTGCATTCTTATCTGAATTGCATAAAGCTGAGATGCTCTTTCTAATTGAGATTGTGAGAGAAACTAGCTGTGGGTCTTTGCAATTCCACTGCAATTTTGATTTGTAAAATAGAACTCTTGTATTTACAATAAATGTAAGATAGGGGGAAAGGAAAGTAGTGGCATTCATTTATTCACCTCTCCTGTTAGTGTTTATGCTACCACCATTTTGCTTTACGTATAGGGTTATCTTCTTTTTAATCAGATTCGAGTACTGTGTTCCTTTGCCCCTTATTTCCTTGATGCTCCATTTCGAAGCTTTGTCTAAGCCTTGAAATTAACCACACCAATTTTCTGTCTGAAACATCCTGTTCTCAAATATTTCTTATATAAAATCCTATGATTTTTCAAAGATCCTCCATATAGATTTTAAAATTTAGAAGAAGAGAACTATGAGCAGGTAGATACGCGTATCTAAAAAACACATCGGTTTAAGGAACAGCTTCCAGGTATATTATCGTCTTCTTTTGATCAGGTCAACGGTTCTCTTTTACACTGCTGTTGGAAAAATCAAGTATGGCAAATCATTTTTGGAGAAATTATCTGTATGCGTGCAATAAGGTATAAAGTTTGTAAATTTTTATCCCATACTCCTTGTGTAAGCATTTGAAGCATAGGGATTTTATCAGTTTTGATTGGGAGGAATAACTATTGAATCGTCTCCTATGGGGCATTTTATTGGAATGTTATTATTAAGAAAGTTATTTCACATCGTTTGGTTTTCCATTGAAAAGTATGATTAAAGGGAAAGTTAGTCGGCGGCCTCGTTAAAGTTGCCAGCCAGTGAACAATCTGGTTTTATTGAACGTTTGTCATTCACCTTTATGAATCTATGGAATGACAAAAAAAGAAATGAAAATCACAGAGGCTCCAAGACCAATGTATATATGAAAACAGTCAAATTTTACATAAGAGACGAGTAGTGGCATTTGGTTATCATATTAGCACGTGAGCAATGATGATCAAATCACCATTATATAAAGAGAGACGATGAAGATTTATATACAAAAGAAAGAAAAACAAAAAAAGATGGCAGATTTTTGTGTATACATTTGAGGGTGAAAAGAAAGTCTTGTTTATATTTCTTTAGACAATTCCTCCCTTTAGCTGCGCAATCGAGCTCCCCATGACATTTTTCCTCCGGCATCCTGTTCATGCTTCTTCTCTTCAGCTCTGACAGCTGAGACTGCCATCGATTTCTCCACCCGCTCCGATCTTCTAGATCCTGGTTGTGATGAGAAAGGTGAGAATTCAAAGCAAACATAACGGATTCTGTCAACGTACCAGAAAATACAACATAACATATGGTAGGAATGACGGCATGTTCGACGACTCTTAACCGGATTACTAGGCATAATTAAGAGAACTTTCATAAAAAAAAGCAACCCAAAAGTAAAAGATTCGGAATAAAGATTTGCTGAATTAAGAGACCAGACAAAACGCAATGATTTCATCATTAGCATTACTTAATCACAACAGGCAAATCCTATTTGCAAGAGCAGTAGCAAACAAGGCCTTTTTGTTTCCATAATAACCATGGCAAATCGGGGATCTTAAGCATAAAAGTGCAGCGATTAAGTGAATCACGAAACAACTAAGTACCATAGCAAAGCTAGCTTCACCATATTTGGTAAGCATACTAAGAAAAACTCAGTTCATCCTATTAATAAAAAGAATCTAGTGAATGGAGTAGACTGCTATTATTACCTGTACCGGTAACTACACAGGAATTTAATATGGATTCAAGAAGGAAACAGAATTCGAACAGACAGCTGAGCTACTCAAAGGTATAATGTACAGGCGAGGAAAAATAAGAACATCCGTTCTGCGGAAAACAATTTCTCAAAAAAAAAATTCTGTATTTACTTGTATTTCATTCACAAGAACTAACCTGGGAAACAAAAAATTAACCTTTTTCTTCTCTGTGCGTGTGTGAATATGCGTTGCACTTTTGAAAATCATGCTGAAGCAAAGTAGAAAAAGGGAATATTCCCACCATGTAGGGACCGATCTCTTCTATAATCAAAGCAAAAAGGATCAATCATTGAATTCAAGCTTTCAGGGAGGAAACAAACAACAGAAATGATCGATTTTCACACAAAATCTTGAAAAATTCAATTTCCTCAAAATAAACGGAAAGTCACGAGATGAAGTACTCAGTCAACACCATCCATATCCTTGAAGCTTAGCAGATATAATATTTTGTTTATGTTTTAGTAAACACAAATAAGAAGCAAATGAAGATCAAAGAAACTCATGTGAACTTCAATACTTGATCATCAGTTTTGACCTTAGCTTTCTTCAACAACAGTCAAAACTATATATAGCTTGAGAACTTCGTCAAATCATCAATTCAGTCCCCCAAATAGACACCCAAATGATTAAATTTTGAAATTCTAACAAGTTACGAAAGTTCAAATCTTGAAGAAGGAAATTCGATTTAAGCCAAATAAGCAAAAGCCAGATATGAAATACTCCCAAAAAGGAGACAAAAAACAGGGAAAACCCCCAAAACTAATACTAATACAAAAGTAGAAACAAAAAGAAAAAAATCAAAATACCTCATCGTATTGGTAACGCCTTCTAGCAGAGAAAGCAAGGTGAAGTCCGAAAGCCAAATCCTTATCATACGAAGCTCCGCTCCTCGTATCCGATAAAGTCTCATAAGCTTCCTGGATCCGAATAAATCGCTCCGTATACTCTTCGACCCGATCCGGCGGCGACACGTCCGGGTGGTACTTCCTAGCCAGCTGTTTATACGCCTGCTTTATTTCCAGCAAAGTACCCTTCTCGCAGCAACTCGTAAAAACTCAGCCCTTTCCTCACTTCATCGATCTTCGCGCTGATTTTGAACAACCCAAATTTTATCCGAGTCGGATGGACCGTTCTGGGTAGCCTGAGGGAGGTAGTTTCCGTCGAAAAGAAACAGGAGTCAGTACCTGGTAACGCCGCCAATCCATAACCGCAACGCATCTTAGTAAAAACTAGAAACGATTTATTTGCTAGTTACAAGTTAATTTTGTTCATTTTTTGTTGTTGTTGAAGAATTGCAAAAACTGAAACAAAATTTGGAAGCAAAAATAGTAAAAAAGGGGGGGTCGCGATCGGGGAATATTGATTGTGGAGGGGAGAAAAGTTCTAAATTCTAAAAACGGGTACTAGGAAGGAAAGTGATATTTGTTGAGTGCTGAAAACGAAAGTGATTTTGTTTGGAGGGAATGCGGACACGTTTTGGTTATAAATTTGAATTGAAACCTAATTATTATAATATTTACTCAAATCACACATTAAATGATCACAATAATTAAAAAGTTACTATCAAAACACAAATCAAACTACCACAATAATTAAAATTATTGTTATCTCTTAAAAATTTAAATTCGAATATAACATTTATAGTGTACATGAACTACTTATAATTACAATTTAAATAAAAAGATTGACCTTGACCTTATCATTTTGCCTTATCCCTATATGTTTGCTAGTATTTACAACACGATCGGAGGCGGCTTTTAAATATGATAGTGTGCTTATATTATAAATTGATTTTATATTATAATTGTTAATTCTACTTTGAAAATTACAATCTAAGACTGTAGATAAGACGAGACAGATCAAGAACTACTCGAGATTGATTTGGTCAAAACTCGATAAATACTCGGATCGAATAAATTTAACTCGAACTAGACTCGAAACTACTCGAAAATATAATATATTAAGATTTTTAAAAAAATAAATTATTAATAATATTAATATTTATGTGTTGATTTTTTTAAATACAATAAGAATTTTATGTATTTAAAGTTCAGGTTCGAGTTTGAGTATTTAATATTGTTAAGTTTAATTTTTTTTTTTCATTTCGAACCTTTTCGAACTGCTCATGAACTTCAGTTCAGAATTTCAAGTTCAAGTCGAGCTTAAAAATTTTATACTCGCGAATTTTCGAATCAATTCGAGCTCCATTTCAGAATTTTCGAGTCGAGTCAAACTCTATTTCAAAGTTTTCAAGTCGGGTCGAGCTCAACAATACTCGAATTCGACTCGACTCGTTTACACCCCTATTACAATCAATTAAACAACACGTTCAAAAGCGGCTTGTGGGAAGTAAAGAGATCTACTCATTTGACGATTTTTAAAATAAATATATTTTACAACATAAATAAAAGAAAACTCTAAATAATTTTTATACATCTTTATTTTTTAATTGCTTTTCTTAAATAAGCCTAAATTTTAACAAATTAAATAATTTAACAAACTACCGCAAAAGCTACTATATAAAAAATCGTCGGCAACTTTGATAAAACTAGCCAACTTCTTTTAGTATCTACTAATTGTATCTTGTAACAAAAAAAAAAATAAAAAAAATTCAAATGATTGATTTTATATTAAAGCATTCCTAAAGAAATTGAGAAGTTAATTAAATTCAAACTAGAAGTCAAAAAGCATATTAAAGTCTAATAAAACATGTATAGATAAATAAATTAAGAAATGGACAGATATTATAAAGTAATGCATGACATCCATCTCTACTCACCTCATTACCTATTCATTCCAGGGTTAGGGAGTTAGGGCTTGGAAGAGACTACCTAAGGTATCTGAAATGCAACATCATTTTGATGTTTGCTTCCTCTAAATATCCCCACATCCTCTAAAGAAACGTGAAAATACTTTAAAATAAACCCAACGCACAATTCGACACTCACTGCCTAAGCCGAGGTAATATACTCATGCTAAACACGTATTTGTATCCGACACTCAAATATGAACAATCCAAGTAACATAGTGCTTCATGCTAAACCATTTCCAGAGAGTTTGACACCAAAGCTGAGCTCCTATACCACCATATCCATGCATCCTAGAAAAGAAACAAGCACAAAAAAAAAAGGTGGGGGAGGAAAAAGAAAAAAAAGGACTTGGAAAAAAAGAGAAAAAAAAAGACGGAAGACAAAAAATGGGTGAGTTTTAGACGATGACGTTACAGTCCAACTGATAATCAACAACCAAAACAAATCATAACTGTCTACCAATTTCAATTGATTAAAAAACAAAAAATGGCTAAAACAGTTTAAATTCCTAGAATTTTAACAATTATTTAAGAAAAGTGATGTAGTTCAGGGTGTTTTTCAAAGCCTTAGCCAACAAAAAAATTCATTTAACTACAAGCTAAGCCCCAAAGGAAATGGTTAGATGACCATGGAATAAAGTAGAATGTAAAAGATTTCAAATTTCTTCTATCAATCAACATAATTCTAGTGATCAACCGGCATCTATGTACCACAGCCAGAGCATTAATATCTAGGGTACAAATGCAACCAAATGTAACTTAACATTTACTACCATATAAAAAACTCAACCAAGTGGTGTCATGAAAGATTACCTGTGAAAAAACCATGAAATTTTTTTTAAGTGATCAACCGATCTGGCTATGGGGCTCAAAAATAGACGCTACTCATCCCCATGGAGTCTGGTTACACAGGACCTTAAAGTAGCTCGGATATTAAATTTCCTTGGAAATGAGGGGGAAAACAGAAGGGGAAAAAAGAAAGGAAAAAATACAAGCAACGTGAAAAGATAGAACCAAGCCTAACACACCTTATATGACAAATCAACACTAAAGAAATTTAAGCATAAGTATAAATTTTATAGCACTAGCTCTCTGCCACAAAGCAACTGCATACCTTCACATAGATCAAATAAAAATCAACCCTCCAAACTGATCACTGATAGGTCCAACAGGAACACCATGTATAAACCTGCATGAGATGGATGTAACAGGCCTCCTAGACCATCAAAGACATATAAAAATGGACCCATGATCAAGCACATCAATCAAGGGCCAAGTGTTGGAATCTAAACAAGGATGCACGCTTGCTAATACATACACAAACATAATAGAGGTAGAGAGGATAAATCTAAACCAGGCTGCAAACTTTCAAATAAACACTTAATAAATTACAGAAAAGCAGTAGAGATAATGGTTCAACATACATATAGCAGTAAAAGAAGCTTGCTACAAACATTGCACGGTTGATTGCAGAAGAAAGCAGAACACTGCTTGAAATACTTTATCCATTGTAAACGTGAGCTCAAAGACCAATGCCAATCTGTTCCACATGCCTGCAAAGGATAAAAGAGCACAATGGCATACATTTATGAAGCAACAACAAATGTCTGAAAAGTCCAAGCACCAAAAGAAACACTAAGCAATGTCTTAAGTGAGCTGCTGTTCGTTCACATGGGAGCTAAAAGCTCTCATTAAACTTAAATAACTTGTTCATATCTGATCTGAACAAGCTTGGATTGAATCATGGCTAAAATGGAGACTGAGCACTCAGACAACTTGGAACTGCTTGTCTCAAAAATCCCCAAGGCTCAGTAGCACACAGAGCCAATGACTCATTTCCGCCGAGGTGAAGTGGAATGATCTTCTGATCCTGCAAAGAACATATCGGAGTTGCTATTAGTCACGAACTGTATATCTTTATTAGTGTTATTTCATTTTCAGTGATTTGTTACATTACCATTACTATCATGCCACTGCTTACTACTTGATTTTTCAAGTTCGTTTTGCTCATCTGCATTCAATCTGCTACTTGGAGAGAGTTGTTTATCACTGCCAAACTTTGGTAAATATTTGCTTTTCAGTTCCTGATCATCATTTACTGAAACTTTTGAGCCGTATGCCTCCCCTTTTGAAACCAAAATTCCATCATCCCCTGTATTTTATAAATCATCCACAACAGAAGTAAGCAGCCCATCCATTACCATATCCAATTTTTCCTATTGTTTTGCCAAAATGTGAACTTTTATTGTTACCATCCAAATACTACTTACCTTCAGCTGACTTTGACCTCGAACGGCTTCTGGGCCTTGAATCATTGTCTTCAGAACTTCTCGGAGAAGATTTGCTTCCTCTAGCAGGCCTTGCTTCAGCGGATAATAAATGCTTCTTGTCACGACATTTTGATCTTTCATCTATTTTATCAACAGAACGATGTTTTCCCTCAGTAGACTTTGACCTGGAATGCCTTTGGTGTTTTGATCTATTTTCATCAGAACTTCGGGGTGGCTGCCTGCTTCCTCTGTGATGCATTCCATCAGCAGATCTTGACCTTGACCGCTTTCTATCCCGATGCTTGCCATCAGCAGATCTTGAACATGACCGCTTTCTATCCCGATGCTTGCCATCAGCAGATCTTGACCTCAACCGCCTTCTATCTCGATGCTTGCCATCAGCAGATCTTGATCTCGAACACCTTCTATCTCGATGCTTAGAATTCTTATCTCGATTTCTTTCACTCCTCTCTTTGGCATAATGCCTACATTTAACAGATCCTGATCGGGACCTCCTTTTCTCACTATGTCTCGATTCATCTTTTCTCACTTCATCAGTTTTACTGTTCGAGCGAACCTTGCCTTCTACAGAAACTGATCTGGACCGCCTTCTGTGTTTTGAATTGTTTTCATCTGAACTTGAAAACCTGCTTCTTCTTTGATGTCTACCTTCCGAAGATAATGACCGGGATCGCTGTCTACTGCTGTGTTTTGTTTTTTCATCCGGGATTTCTTTCTTTTTGTTATCCGAATCAGAAGAGTTCGACCTAGAGCGCTTTCTATATTTTGATTTTCTTTCATCATTCTTAGGGGATGACCTATTTCTTCTCTGATGCCCTGGTGATGCTGAACCAGGACAAGATGATTTCCTAAGATTAGGTGAACTTTCTCTGCTCTGCTTTGGGGAGTCAGAATCTACAGGAGGAGATTTTCTAGTTCGAGGACTAGTACTCCTATTTCTCCTCGAAATAGACAAATGATTATCACGTGATCTCTCTGTATCTCGTCTGCTACGCCTTCCATTGTCATCCCTATCTCTATAAGAACGTCGTTCACTTTCATATCTTGAACGATGATGACACCGCACAGGTGACCGGGACCTACGATCACGTCGGAAACGAGGCAGAGGTGAATAAGAGCGAGATCTCCCTCTTCGTCTATAACTGATTGATGATCTTGATTTGGACCTTGACCTTCCCCTATAAACAATTGGTGATCTTGACTTGGATCTTGATCTTCTCCGATAACTAAGGGGTGATTTTGATTTGGATCTTGACCTTGCACGGGAAGTGGATGGTGACCTATAAACAGGAGTTACAAATCAATAGAACTCAGATCTATCATTAAGGTTTGAAGTCTAACAGACAGACAAACAAGAGAAGACTTTGATCTCCTTTTGTTCCTAATATGTAAAATACCATCTTAAAACAAAACCAAGATTTGAAAACATAAGAGAATCATTGCAAACAGATACCTGTTCCAATCATGATAAAATAAACTTAATGGCGAATGAAAGTAACTCTGTTCTTTAACAATATGGAAGCCAAGCCTCAATTAAAATTAAGCCTTAAGAAACAATACATGTATGCAAGGAAGTGCACTTGTCCTGATGGGGAGACATACCTAGATTTACTCTTGGTTTCATTCTCTTCAGTAACAAACCCATCAGCTTTTAGCTTCTTACTTATTTCTGCAGCTCTTGCTGCAGCTAAATCTGTTGCAGACTTCATGCTTGCAGCTCGGTTGGCTGCCTGCTGAGCAGTCAATGTTTGTTGCATAAGCAAAGCCTGTTGAAATTGCATCTGTTGCATGGCAACAGCTTGCTGCATCATTAAAGGCAGAGAAGAAGAAGTCGTTGACGAAGTAGCTGGCTTCGGAGGAAGAGTTCTGGCCATCTCCACATTTAATGGCCGACCGCCAATATCCATATTGTTCAATGCCAAAGCAGCTGTTGCTTCCTCAGGTTTTGAATATTCTATGTAAGCAAAATGCTTTGAGTCAGTGATTGTACACTCAACAACTGTACCACAGAAGCTAAAAAGCTGCTTCAACTGCTCCACGGTGAGAAGTGGGTTAAGATTGCTAACTTGTAAGGTTTTTTTTAATGAATCACCCTTTGCAGCTTTGTCAGGAGAATCTGAAAAGAAGTAGATTACTGTTAGGTTGAGCACTCAACTGAAATAAATAGCACTTAGAAAATAAATTAAAGAAAAAGGGCAGTGGAAAACAAGATAGTGTAAAAGGTACCCGATGAATCTTTGGTTGACTGTGCTTGTGCTTGCACCTGAGCAGCATGAGCTTGAAGGGCTTGAGCAGCAACAATAGCCTGAGCTGCAGCCATTGCAGCTGCAGAAGGTGCCATAGGAACCTGACTGAGAGTTCCCATGCTGGTTGTTGCTGCCAAAGCAGTCATCAGCAAATTGTGGGGAGGATGGTTCAATTTGCAATCAGTTTTAGCACAATGGCCACTGAGGTATTCCAGACAAACTTCCCCAAGAGATGCCCCCATTCCTGGCAGAATAGCACCACCTGAAGCACCAGATACAATGCCTGGGATCATTCCCAACAAGCCAGGGAAAGCTCCAGAAACAGATCCTGTATAGTTTGGCATGTTGGGCATTGTTTGATTTACTAGATTTGGATACGTGGATGCAGGAGCCACTCCTAGTACAGCTCCAGTAGAAGAACCTGCAATACAACAAATTCAACATCTGCACATGAGCACTAAGAATGCAGTCAAAAGGTATGCCCAGAAGTGAAGTCAAACTCATCAACAACAAGCAAGAACAAAAATTCAACGGCAAGTTAGATGGAAATGGGCCAAATAATATGAAGGGGAGTCGCATCGAGAACTTCTCTCATTCCAGTTTGCGAGCCTTCTTCACACAGAACAAGGAAAATAATACTATGATTTAGAGATTGAAATTCATATGAAAAACAACAACTACTCCAAATACCTGAACATTAAGAAATGAACACGACAAGTGACAACATAAGACAATTAAGAATGAACAGACAGAGCTTTAACAATGTTACCTACCTGCACTGAAGAACACAGGGAATGGACTACCCATGATCGGTTTCCCATTGCACACAATGTTTACCATATAGTTCCCTCTCTTCGGCACCACATAAGTCACAGTGTAGGTCCCATCTCCCATATCCTTCACAATGCCCTCCTGATCTGATCCCCCAACACCAACACCTGGCGAAACTATTACCTTAATCTGTGCACCCCCACTCTGTACTTTCCTCCCATCTGCATCCTTAGTTACGACCATAAATGTTGAGGCTGCACAGGCTGTGCCACCCGCTATTCCGGGCCCTGCTGCCATGCACTTGGAAGGATCCACAGGTCCAATTGGCTTGTCCACCAAGTCACTGGTCTCGTCCTCAGACTCACTATCCGATGAAGCTGCCTCCACATCCTTGTTACGACTCTTATCAACATCTTTGAATGTGGCTTCAAAAGCCGCTTTAGCAGCCGCATCTTTTTCTGCTTCACTTTTCAGCTTGGCCTCTTCCGCTTGTTTCATCCATATCGGCTTTGTGGCAGCAGAGCTTCGATCGGCCATCAAACTATAACACCTAAAATTCTAGAAGTAAAAAAAAAAGAGACAAAATCATCAATCATTCAAAATCCAAATGCGAAATATGCTAGATCAGTTCCAAATATTGAAAAACCCCCCAATCGAGTGTACTCCAATAAACCTAGAAGACTCCAGAACTAAAAACTACACCAATTTCAATTTACTATTCAAATGCAACCCTAATCTACCGGATCGGTAAAGCAAATCCTTAAATTCGAAGCTAAAAAGGGGAAAGTACGTAAAAATTAAGCATTTGAGATTCCACTTTCCGTGATTTAATAACTTCTGGAGTCCATTGGACTATGTTTGGATGCAAAGAAAATTATGGGAAAGTGAAGAAAATACAAGGGAAAAGCGCGTTACCTTGTGCTGTTAATTTGGTACCCGACGGCGAAACCGGGAAGATAATGACTATATGTTTATATATAGGGCTGAGAGCTACGCGGTGGGGCAAAACCGGGATTCGATTATTAAACTTTTAAATAAATAAAAAGTTTAAATTCTTTAATTAGCCCCTGTATTATGTTTACGTTACATTTTTAATCTTATTAATGCAATTTTATCAATTTTGTCTTATAATTTTCAAAATTTAAAATTTAGATTATGATGGAGCAGTAGTCGTAAAATTGGTTAAACCAAGGATAAATTGTATTATATGCCATTGTATTATGATTAAGTTTACAATTGGACTTTCATATTTCAAAACATCATAATTAAATTACTCTATTTTATCAATTGTAATAGTCATGTCACTTTATCGCTAAATGCATAACAAAAATTAACTTATCAGTTACAATCAAATTATCTTATTTATCAATTGTAATAATTATATTATTCTATGAGCTGATTATAATAATCATGTCACTTATATGTAGTTAAAAAGTTGACGTTCTTTATACATTTGACAATAAAATTAATATATCATTATAATCAACAGACAGAATGATCTAATTGTATTTTTTTTAAATGCAATCATTTTATTATAAATTTACTCGTAATACAATAACTCATGGTGTAATTTATGATTTAATCATTTTAAGTCTATAATTTAATTATGTTGTACTATAAAAAATATATGAATTAACTCTACAATTTACTTGTAATACAACACATACTAAAATTTAATCTAAACAAAGAAATGATTTGTTTAAATTGATCCTAGTTAATTTTGATATTATATTATAGTTGAATTTAATAAAATGTCAATTGGTTCATTAAAAAATCACCTCAAACATTTTTAGAATTAGGACAATAATTATAATTTTCTTTTAAATTTTAAAGACAGTCTATATTGAAGTTAAAGAAAGGTCATATATAACAAAATGATGAAATTGGAGGGACTGAAAGAGAAATAAGAGAGACTATCGCGGGATTCGGGAAGGATATAAGATACTAGTTTGTTTCTCCAACGATTGTGTAACCAAGTAACGGACTTCGCTTATTTTTTTACAACTCTTTTTCTCTTTTCAATTGCTGCGTATTTTCATTTTTCTCATCAATTTTATTTGAATGTGAATTTTAGTTTTGTTTTTCTCGTCAATTCTTGATTGGTATCATGGGTATTGATTTATAGCTTTCTTCCATTAATTCCTTTCTTCGTAGTGTGCCAAGAAAACTTCTAAACAAAAAGGTATATATACAAATTAAGAAAGAATTTTAGTTTTTTTCCTGATTTTTTGTTTAATTGCTTAGTGATGTTTTGATTTGGATTTAGATACATCCGGATTGAAAATCTTGGCTCTGCGCTAGAAGATTAACTTTTTCCGTATAAAAAATGATCAAAGGAATGTCACCAGACAATGTTCGTGGCCTCGTTTTGGCTGTTTCATCGAGCATTTTCATTGGATCCAGCTTTATTATCAAGAAACAGGGTTTGAAGAAAGCTGGAGCATCAGGACCAAGAGCCGGTTCTCTTAATTCTCGTTGATTCAATTTGTTAAAAACTTGCATTAGAGTTCAATTTCAAGTGTTCTTTTTTTTTTATGGATATTTTGAATTTGATATTAGGGCAAGGTGGGCACTCCTACTTGTACGAACCTTTGTGGTGGGCAGGAATGATAACCAGTAAGTTAAAAAATCCACCTCAAATCTGTTAGTTACTTGTAGTTCTATTTCTTTGTTCTTTCGTTTTATTATAAGATTTATAGATAAGTTTTGTAAATTTTAAACCATAATTGATGACAATTAGTTGGAATTTTGAAGCAATGAAGTTTTGAGATTAAGGATATCTTTAGTCTTTAGGGTAACTTGTCAATGGCTTCTTGTTCAGTACCAGTATGCTTAATTTCTCTATGTTTTTTGTAGTATCTCAATTTAGAGAAGGTCATTTCTCTATTTTAGTATTTGAATCTGGGTCAAGCATGAGTGTTGGTTACTTAAAGAAAAACAAGAATCTTAGTAATATAGGTAAAGGAATGCTTTGTTGCTGCCCTTATTGAGTGTTTGATCACTTGAAAAGACTTAAAAGCACTAAACATAGATAAATATTTTTATCCTACACTTATCTTCAAGTCCAAGTAACATACATCTTGGCCTTTCAAGAGAATAACCAAATTGAAGGGAAAGAAACTGTTTACTTTTAGATGTGTTCTGAAATGAAGTGGAATGGGAGAATTTATGTGTTTAGTTTTACTGTCCACATTTTACTTGAAATATAATACCAAATCTGCAACAAAAAAAGTTACAAGAAAGAGAAAAGTAAGAACGAGCCTTAGTATGCAATGCCATTGAGCAATAATGAGCATTGTGTTAAGTTGTTATGATTATGTTACTCAGATTTTCCTGCGAGTGTTGAATGAACATATGCCTGGATAAGTACTTTGAAAGACTATGTCCCCATACCATTATATAGATGTCTTGGACAAGAGGGTCAAACATGGATAAAAAGAATATGAAGAGCCTGAACGACATTAGTTGTGTTCTTATGCTTCATGTTTACCATAGCATATTTTTTCCTCCTGCTACTTCATTTCAAGAAACTCCCGATGTTACTGTTCACATTATCTTAATGTGCTTTACTTTTACAGTGGTTTTTGGGGAGATAGCTAATTTCGCTGCTTATGCCTATGCTCCTGCAATTCTTGTAACGCCATTGGGAGCCTTAAGTATTATTTTCAGGTATGGATCAAGTTCCATCTTTGTTGGTTAAAATATGATAATTATGTAGCAACCTAGTTTCATTCATGGTCATACAAGGAGATGTGTTTAGAAGCATACATATTTTCTATGTTGCTTTGCCTCAATTTTTTTCTTGAAGTACTCATGTCCGACACAAATCTGGATATGGCTTTGGGAATATGACCTAAATATATGTAAAAGTTTAGATAATACCCGAATTCGACTTTCACACTTGGGTTTGAGTAACATAGCGGATTTATATCTCTATATGGGCTTGGCTTGTGGATCTGACTAATTTTATGAGATCAATACTATTATGCAGTGCAGTGCTAGCTCATTTTATTTTGAAGGAGAGATTACATATCTTTGGTATGCTCGGATGTGCTCTTTGTGTGGTTGGCTCTACAACCATTGTCTTACATGCTCCAAAGGAAAGAAATATTGAATCCGTCAAACAAGTATGGCAGCTTGCAACAGAGCCGGGTATGTGAGAACTTTCCAATCTAGTTACTTATACATTATGATTTCACGTTAAAAAAATTTATGTTGGTCCAACTTTTCGTTTTTCTTCAAGTATCCGTTTTTGACACCTATATTTATCTAATCTATACATTTTTACATTGACAGGATTCATTGTATACTTTTGGGTCGTTTTGGTTGTTGTAGCAGTGATCATTTTTCGATATGTTCCACGCTATGGCCAAACCCATTTGATAGTTTATATCGGAATCTGCTCCCTTATGGGATCTCTTACGGTTTGTTGATTACTTTTAAGGCTTCTTCTATTATTTTTTTTATTTTAATTTACAGCATCTTGCACATTTACCGATATTGGTACCGTGTTATGTTTGTCCAAAGATCCTTTAAATATATAAAAAATTTAGGAAAAATTAATATATCTTTGTTAACTCTATCCATATTTGATACTCGTAGGGAATGGGTGTTAAAGCAGTAGGAATGGGTGTTAAACCTTTTTTTAACCATGGTTTTAACAACACTTCTTGTAAACCTTCTTTTTCATGCTCATAGGTAATGGGTGTTAAAGCAGTAGGAATCGCACTGAAGCTGTCGTTTGGAGGCATGAATCAATTTAAATACTACGAAACATGGATATTCACAGCAATTGTGATCTTTTGCTGTCTTCTGCAAGTAAATTACTTGAACAAGGTAAGTGTTGAGACTTAGATTTCAATGCATAAATTATATAGTGCTTGATACTCTTACCTTTTTGTCAGTTGGCATAAATACTTGCACGTGTTTTCCTTTTTTTAAATTTTTTTGGGGGGTTAAATTCCCTATTACTCAGACTCAGATGTCACTATCAAATACAGGTATTTATCTGACACGGGTATGTTTATTTTTAAAAGTTTTTCCATGCACTGGAAGGATTTTTGAAAAATCATATCCCATATCCCCATTCACATGTTTGGATATATGTTTTGTTAGACATGAGTATTTAAGAAAGAAGAGTGTGAAGAGTCGGAGTAGCATAAGTTAATCTAATAGGATCACTTGAATTGCTGATAAACAATAATAGATTTGGTAGACAGAGGATGAGAATTTGTGCTGTCCAACTCCGCCATTTACCATTGGGTTGTGTTTTACTAGTTCTAACACTAATTATTTGGACAGCATTGCAAATTATTCATTTTAAGTTACTTATAGAATAAAAAGACTTAAAAGAGTTCTTTCAAATCATATTTTTCAAACTTATATTCTTCATTTACATATGTTTATTGGCTCTAGGTTAAAGTATTGTTGTTTTTCTTGTTGCTACTAAAAGCTTAAGATTTTTGCAGGCTTTGGACACCTTTAACACTGCTGTTGTATGTCCTGTTTACTATGTCATGTTCACAACACTCACCATTTTTGCCAGCATGATCATGTTTAAGGTAAGTTTTCTTAAAACATTTTTACCCACTCTAACTACAATGCATCGAGCTTTAATGGACAGATCCCTATTTATTTTTGAGCTTGTTTATATAAATTAAATGAACTTGTTAACATCAAATGAACATGCTCAGTAATATGTTGGATTATTTTTAATGAACATCACAAACAAGTTCATTTAGTTTATGTGAACAAACATGAACACAAATTTTGGAACTCTAAACAAACACAAACCAACCTGGTAATAAATGAACAAACAGTTCCGTTTGAACTCGGTTCGTTTACAATTGTACTCACAAAAAAATTGTGCTTTTGTATATAATAACGTCTTTTTCTTCTTTGTTTTTGAGTAAAAAAAGGATTGGGATTCTCAAGGTGGGACAGAGATTGCAACGGAGTTATGTGGATTTATTACAATTATATCAGGAACATTCCTCCTCCACAAAACCAAAGATATGGGAAACAATTCCAGTGGCAGACTCCCTGTTTATACATCTTCTGATCCTATCCCCATCTCTAGTTCTAGATAGTCAGTCCAACAGGCTTGAAATTCGAATTCAGATTCTAATACTGTGCCTTGTTTCAGATATTGCTTTTAGTTTCATACAAGTGAGGGAAAAAATGAAAAAATAAAATAAAAAACAAAGGGAGAATCAGGAATCCTTTTTTTATATAAAAAAAAATTGAGGTTTATGGAATACTTAAGATGGATGCTTTTTATTTGGCATTGGTGGATGTAAAGAGATTCTACAGATGTTCAAAAACTAGATGTTTCAGTTTTCGTCTGTTTATATATGTATTTTTAATTTTCTCATAATATTTTTAAGTATTTGTTATTATTAGGGTTTGATAAGAATGATGGTTATGCAAGTCTTTTCAAGGCTTAACATATAAATTTATTTATAAGAATAATTATTTGATTATAAAAAAAAACTTGCATAACAAGAAATCTGTCAAAATCAAATTTTCTACTTTTTAATCAACATCTAACATAAAAGTTTAGTCCTATATGACAACATTTGTACGGATGGGTTAAAACGGTTAAAATTTTCGAGCAAAAATGGAGAAAGCACTTGAAGTATAATGCACTTGTTGATATGTATGCAAGTCTTGGGTTTGTGGATAAGCCTTTGCAATGGATGGAAACGAATATCTTGCAGGGGTGCCCGCCTGATGCAGTAACATATCTTGCTCCGTTGTGTGCTTGTAACCATGCTGGCCCGGTGGATCATGGAATGAAGCCTAATGTAAAGCATTACGGGACTGGTTGATTTGCTAGTACGTTGAGCTGGGAGGCTTAAAGAGGCTTATAATGTCATCAATTCTATGTCGGTGGTGCACTACATAGTGCTTCGGCAGAGTTTGCTTGGAGCTTGTCGAATTAACAAGGACAGTTGCAGGGATTTCATGTTGTTATCCAACTTATATGCCGCACACGAGAGATGGAACGATGTTTGTAGGGTGGAGGAGAAATGGAACGATGTTTGTAGGGTGGAGGAGAACCAACTGTGTCATATTAGTGACAAGTTTGGCGTTTGATTAGTGCAAGTGAAGGACGTCATCCAATACTCAATAAACTCAATGAGCATTGAAGGCACTTTAAACATAAACAACTCTGAAGAAAACACACCAAAAGCCACAGATTTTACAAAGAAGAAAAAGAACCCAAAATACAAAACAGCACACTTTGTATAGCACATTGGAATTTGTCATTCAGTGAGTGTTTCTTTTTCCTTGAATTCTTCCAACCCACCTTGTAATATTCCTCTGCCAATCTCCTTCAACCCTTCTCACAAGCCACCATGGCCTCCCAGTGGTGAACACTATGTATGCTGTGCTTATTCCTACCACAACTCCGCTTCCATATCCCATCATTACAAGTTTCCAGAAAAAAGCTTATTCGAGAACCTTCATCGTCTTTCCTGATCCTTTTTGCAGGCGATTTCGGTCCCTCACTGCTGCCGCATTGCTTTGTCAAGGGGAAGCCACATAATCCCAAGTTCCCCTGATACGAATCATTCTCAAATGTGCTGAATTGCTTTCCATAGGGGATAGGTCCCACGAGATTGTTATGTGAAAAATTCAACACTTCGAGAAATGTCAGGTTTGCCAATTGGGAAGGAATCCTGCCACTGAGCTTGTTTGACGAAAGATCCAATGATTCAAGTTGCACTAAGTTCCCCAACGACTGTGGAATATGTCCGCTGAAGCTGTTGTGAGACAGGTTGAGCATTTGGATCGCATAAAGTTCTCCGATCTCCTCGGGGATTTTTCCATGGAATCGATTACTCGAAAAATCAATGGCTGTGAAAATGAGTAACGTTCTTGCTAGCTCCAGCCCCATATCTGATCTTTTACACGTTATATTCACAGAAATTTGACCATCTTCATTAAATGAACCCAATAGAAGTCTACGGGGCATGAAGGATGGAGGCATTATGCTTCGTACATCCTTGAGAGCAACCAGATTTCGGAAAAATGTTGAAGGCAAGGGACCAGTAAACTCATTGTGAGAGAGATCAATAATTTGTAATGATGAAAAGGATGATTTAACATCTTTGGAAATGTTCAGAGGACCATGAAACCTATTGAATCGCAGGATCAAAACCTGCAGGTCTGAAAGAACACTCAACCAGTGGGGAAAGGTATCACTTAACTTGTTATTTGCTACACTTAAAATTCTCAAGAAAGTGCAATTCATCAAGGATCGTGGCAATAACCCCTCCAACTGGTTGTCGTTAAGGGAAAGGGCTGTCAAAATGTTCTGACCAACACAAAAATCTGGGATTTTGCCTCTGAGGGTATTCATTTGTAGGTTTATGGTTGAGATGTGAATGCTAAAATTTGCAAGACATGCTGGAATAGTTCCTCCCAAGTGATTTCTAGACAAGTCAAGAATTTGAAGTGATGTCATACTGCAAATCGAAGCAGGGATTTCTCCAGCCAAATTGTTGTCTTGAATAAAGATTTCTTCCAATGATGATGGAAGAGCTGGAAGATGACCTTGGAGTAGGTTGGAACGAAGATCAAGGACTTGAAGATTCTTCCCTGGAAATTGCTCGAAGCCAGTCAATAAGTTGTGAGAAAGATTTAAAACGCTCAGTTGTTTCCAACCTTGTGTTTCCCACCTGAAGATTGAACCTTGAATTTTGTTATACGAAAGATCGAGATCAGTCAAGCTTTCCGCCAATCGTAAGAAATCCGGGAATGTCCTTCCATTACAAGAAGACAATGATAAAGTATTGAGCTTTGGAAAAGTAGAGTTAACAGCAACACTCTCGCTACCCCATGACAACAACTTGTTATTTGAAAGATCAAGCCCCATAAGAGACTTCATCTTCGAAAACACATCGAACTTGACGACACCACTGAAATTATTCTTTGAAAGATCAAGAGTTGTAAGATTCTCAAGCCTTAAAAATCCATCCGACTCTATGACACCACTAAAATTATTTGACGAAAGATCAAGATTGACAAGGTTTACGAGGTCGAAGAAGAAACTTGGTATTTCACCATGAATGTTATTATGAGCCAAAGTTACTCGTTGGACAACTAGATTAGAATTTTGACTCTGATTGGTAATAGCGGTGAAACTGTTATTGTGGAGGTCTACAGATTGCTGAGTGAAAAGCCAAGATGGAATTGTACCACTGAACAAGTTATCACCTAAATACAAATGTTGTAGTTTCTGAAGGCCGCTTACATGAATTGGGAGGGGACCCTGTAGGCTATTCAATGCTAAATCTAAGTAAGTAAGCTGTGTGAGGTTGAACAACGATGAGGGAAGTTGACCACTAAAATTACAAAGACAGAGACTCAGATAAGTAAGTTTGTTGAGGTTTCCAAAAACATCTGGAATTTTACTTTGGATATTGTTGTCTCCAAACTCTAAATAGGTGAGTTTTGTGAGGTTTCCAAGAGATTCAGGAATTGAACCTCTAAAATCATTGCCCCAAAGGTCCAAGAACATGAGAGGACTACTCCTATTGAACATTGGGAGATATCCTGTCAGGTAGTTCCCGTGTAGTTTAAGATACTCTAAATACTCAAGCTGGAATAATTCACTAGGGACTTCCCCGTGTAAATGACAAACTGGGAGGGACAAACGCTTTAGAGATGAAGACAGGTTTTTGAACGACGTCGGCGCAACATCGGACATGTTTACACCGCTGAGGAAAAGATTTTCTAGTTTTGATAAGTTACGTGTAAGCATACCGAAACTGTGGCTATCAATTTTCAAGCGTCGAGAAATATCGAGTGAAATCAGTTTCGATAGCAAAGAGATATCTGATGGAACTGAACCGCAAAAGTGATTGCCGGAAAGATTAAGATGCGTTAGACTCACTAACTGACTTAACCCAGACGGAATCAATTCACCGTTGAAACTGTTGAAAGCAAGGTTGAGTCGTTGGAGTCCTTGAAGGCGAAAAAGGGTGGAGTTGAGAGAAAGAGAGCCAGCAAGCTTAGAGCAACTAAGGTCCAGGCCAATCACCTGACCGGTTGCCTGATCACAAGTGACACCCTCCAATGTGCAGCAATCTGTATTTTCATTCCAGGACCTTGTTTTGGGATAAGAAGTACCGTGACATAAGAAGTCAGAGGGAGGGTCACCAATGGACAATGTGCTGTTGAATTGAATCAAAGCCAAGTGGTGCTCTGGTGAACACAGAAGAGTCTGATTAATAGAAAAAGACAACCCCGGGGAACAATGGAACATGGAATGAAAGAACAACACTAAGAGCGGACTATGGATTTGATGCAACCTTGTAAACCTTCCCATGTTTAGAGTCTAAAAGACGAGCGATGGAAGGAGGCAATGAAGTTGGAAATTTGGTATGAGTTGATGGCTTGAGAGATACAATGAGAAAGTGGATTCATGGGGGCATATATTTATATCCTTTAATTTCATGTATCCAATTACATTTCATTCTTTTTAGTGAAAAATATTCGAGTAGAATTGAATATATTTATTTTATTTTAAACAATTCTTTTTGACCACATATGATGTGTGTATATATATATATATGGTCACAAGTTCTTTTTAACCAATTATTTTTAACCACATATATATTTATTTCATTTTAAACAATTCTTTTTAATCACATATGGTTGTTCTTAGAGGTCACAAGTTCAAGCACCAACAACTGCAAGGGTGATTGAACGTTCATTGTCAAACGGTTGAGAGTACTTATAACAGATATTACTTTGTAATCATCTTTCGCTTAATAAAAAAATCAAATATCACTATTATATAATATATTTATAATATTATTTTTTTAAAAAGAATGGATTTTATGTACAAAATATTGGAGTATAAGGGAGTCAAGAAATTGGTAAAAGGGAGAATTTTTAAAGAGTTGTAATCAAAGGAGAAAATTATATAAAATACAAAGTTAAGAGATTAAATTGAATAAAATGAAAATTTATTTTCAAGAAGAGGAATTGAAAATAAAAATGTATTCTACAATGATATAGGAGCACGTGGTTTTAAATTTGATCAAAGTAGACTTAAAACGAACAAGGACCTAATGGAACAAAGAAATCATGCAAAGTTTAGGAGCTAAAATGTAAAAAGAGGAAATTTGTTGTCAAAAAGAGAAATTGAATATGCATAGGCATTCTAAAGTGGTTGAGGAACATATGGTTCAAATGGGGTAAAAAGGAATTTAAAATGAATGATGAACTGAAGAACAAACAAAATTGAGATCAAACCTTAAAATAATCAAATTACTTAAATAAAGACTTAAACGGTATCATTTTAATTTTTAGTTTTTTTACTATTCAAACTTTGAAAATTAAAACTCAATGCGAACTAGAAATTGAAAAAAAAAATCGAAATAACTTAAATAAAAAATTAAAATTTTCAAATAATATCAAATTTTATTTTCATATTATAACATATGGGTGACAACAATGCATGATTGATGAAGATAGTGGTAATCTTCCAAAAAGCAAAAAACTGTTTAATTTTATTAAAGTTGAAATAAAGAACACCAATATTGACTTCAAATGGTCTTGGTCGAACCAAAGGAGGTCTTTTTCAACATTAATAATTAATCGTATAAAATTATGGAACTATGATTTAAAGAATGATTATTGATGAACTCAATAAGTGATTTCTATAGTTAAAATGAATATTGTTTTTTTTAGAATTTTTGAGTTTAAATAGTTACGATATTAATTAGAATTTGATAGTTAAAAGGAATATTATTTTCTTTTAAGGTCTTAGATTCGAGTAAGTGCGATTACAAGATATATATACGTTTTCAATAATTAAAAAAATTCGATCCATTAAAGCCTTTTCTATAATTGATCTCTCCAAGGTCATGCATAAGAAATAGGATTACCCACTTTAAAGCGAACCCTTTGCAATTATTTTATCATTTGAGTTCTCCTTTTTTGTTTCAAGATAAAGTTTCGTCACTATGTCAGTAATTTTATGACTCAACTTTCAGATTTTATTTTGTTCACATGATTGATAAGTGTCTAATGTTGTTTAATTTTTTGAGGTAAATTTGTACAAAAAGCCCATGAAAATTTTCTCTTGAATATAGATTTATATTCCCTTCGATTCACCAATGTTAGAATATTTTTGTCTAAATTGAGTGTAGAAGGAAAATAAAAGTAATATATTTGAATTCCATAACGATCGTATGGTGCAGATAGTAGATCAGATCAATACAAGATCGAAATTTTGATTTAAATTTTGTTAATTTTAAAAAGATTTCGAGAAAAACCAAAGTAAGAAAAAAAACGAGGAAACATTTTGAAACCAATTACGTTATAAATGATGACCAGCGTGCTTGTACAACAATAATGAATGATGTCGGTAATGAGAAAGAGAGGTAAGATATAAGATTAGTTTCATAAATAGAACTGCCTAAATTACAATAATACATACGTCATTCGAAAAGGCTAATCATCTAAAGAATCGGCGTGTAATTAAAACATAGGCCAGACAAAAGCAAAAGGCAAAAGTTATGAGAACTTTCAAAAGCAAAAGCAGACGTAACTGTCCATGAAATTTCCATGTAAAGCCTTTAACCTATTGATTCTACCAACTTTTGGAAGCGTTCTCATTCTACAAAGCATGTTTTATGGTACAATTACAAAATTCGACACCAAACCTGGTTTTCCAATACTATGCATATTGGACACTGTTTCCAACAACTTTTCATGTCACTTGTCCATTGGAGACAGTGCTATCAAGACTCTGTGACAATTGTCAACAAAGGGATCGAAATGGTTTACCAGAAAGTCTTGACCGTCAGACTTCATGTTTTCAAAATCAGATGGTAAGCATTTCCATTTGTAACTAGAGTTTCTCTACAGTAAAAAGATAGTTGTTGTAAACTACAATACAAATAACATGCATTGAACTGATCCTTCAATTTTTCAAAAGAAAATCTTGTTCGTTTTAGTATCAGACCGTCTGCCATTCTCTGCTAGGAACATTGTGGATCGTGCAATACGTAGAAGTGACAACTTTCAAGTAGAGATGGGTATACGGGCTACCGCCCGTTTAGCCCGCAGATTTTAACGATGCGGGTTTAAACGGAACGGTTTAAAAAGCTCGTAATCATAAATGATCTTGAATTTTATGACCCGCGGTCCGTCCATTTAACCCGCGGGTTAAACAGATTTACCTGCGGGCCGTTAAATAATAATAATTTTAAATGCTTTAAATACAATAAAAAATAATGTTCTAACTTGCTACACCTTTAAAAATGATCCAACAACTTGAAAAGGAATGTAGCAACAAAAGTTTTAATAAGTCTCAAGATAAACAAGTAAATAAATAACATCATAACACCATTAAGTCTCAACAAGTCTAAAATAAATAACACCATAACACCATTAAGTCTTAATAAGTCTAAAATAAATAACACCATAACACCATTAAGTCTCAATAAGTCTAAAAAAAATAACATCATTAAATCTCAATAAGTTTAAAATAAACAACACCATAACACTAATAAGTCTCAATAAGTCTAAATAAAATCAACATCAATAATATTTAATATTTTTTGAATCCTTAGATGTAGTTAAATCTTCCATTTTTCCAATCACCGGAGACTTGTCAACTTTATCTACAATATAAGAAAAATCATAATATATTATATAGTTTAAATTTTAAAATCAAAAGTAAATTTATAAAGAAACAATTTTACTAAACATTAAGAATGGTAATATTTACTTTCAACCTCAAATCCTAACAACCAATTTTTGGTACATATCAAAGATTGGACATTTTCCGAAATGAGACAACTTCAATATTTGTTAAGAACATGAGAGCCAATGCTAAATGTCGATTCTGATGCAACAGTTGTAATTTGAATGCTCAAAATGTCACATGTCATCAATGCAAGATCTGGAAATCTAAGTTGATTCTTCTTCCAATAATGCAAAAGATCAAGACTAGCAAAGGACTGGTCTAAATTGCAAGTACACTGTATTTACTTAATCATGCACAACATGTTTAAATTAAAAAAATTAAATTAAGTGGGTTACCTGTGGGTTTAACTGTCCAAGATAAAAAAACTCGTAATTTAAACGAATTTTAGTTTTTGAGGTCCGAAATTCACACGAACCGTAAGTTAAACGGGTAACCCGCGGATCTTGACCCATCTACCCAAGTCTACTTTCAAGTTACCAAGGGTGATGCTGAAAAGATCATTGATTGGAATAATACATCACCGAAGCAAGTCGAAATACCGGTCGAGCCAGCTCGTGTTATCTTACATGTAATTTGTAGGATAAACTGGATCTTACTGTCTTATTATTTTATTTAGCAACCTGTGAACTTTTCTCTTTATATATACTAGGATAATGCTGGAGTGCCACCAATGGTTGACCTCACTAGCAAATACTAAAGAATCTGCCAAAGAAGACTATTTTTATAGCTTCAATTGTTATCTGAAATCACTGCATGCTAATTGCATATACAAAAACAAAGGAAAAGGATTTCAAGCTTTAAATATGATAAAGAAGACAATATTTTTATAGCTTCAATTGTTATCTCCAATCCATAGTTTCATCTTCCACAACCTTCTTCACCACCCTCTGTAAACTCTGTTTCTTCCCCTGTTTCTACTTTTTTATTTTTCAGCCATTTTATCTTCATAATAAAGAAAGTCTATTGGAATTGGAACTAATTTTTACTATAAACTTATAATTTCCACGCATTCTATCATCGAAATTTCCTCCCATGGTGTGGTTGTGCTCATCAGTCCATCTCAAATAGCTACTGTTTAGTGACTTTACTTAAACAGGGTGATGGGGCTTAAATTTCATGGAGCGATAGGCAAAAAGACTTGGAAATTTGCATGCAAGGCCGAAGACTCCTATATACAAACAATCTTCCTTCACAGCCATAGCCAGCAAACATGAAGAATCTCCATTTCCTCATTTCACTCTTCTCTTGCTCTCGTGTTTTCTTTTTCTCCTTTGCAAACTCATCTCCCAAAACAGTATTGCCTTGATGACCAGAGATCCTGTCTGTTGCAATTGCAGCATGATCTCTACTATGCCCCAAATTTTACTTTCACTTCCAAATTTGAGTTGTGGGATCCCAACACTGATTGTTGCTCTTGGGAAGGAGTTACCTGTGATGATGCCATTGGTCATGTCATTGGACTTGATCTAAGCTACAAAAACCTTTCATGGACCTTTCACTCCGTTTTCGATCTCCATCATCTTCAGCGCCTAAACCTTGCTGGAAACAAGTTCAACACCACTCTGCTTTCCTATGGGTTTGATGAGCTTCCAAATCTAACTCATCTCAATCTCTCCAGCTCATGTTTCCATGGCCAAAATCCAATGGAGATCTCATACTTAACAAGGTTAGTTTCTCTCGATCTCTCTTATCAAGATGGTTGCTATGTGGGAAATCTTTATTATGATGATTATGATTTAGCTACTTTGAGACTAGAGAAACCAAGCTTCAAGACATGAATCAAGAATTTGAGGTTTCTCAGAGAGCTTCATTTGGATGGTGTGGACATTTCAACTCATAGCGCTAAATGGTGTAAAACCACATCTCTAGTACTTTCCGACCTATAATTGTTGAGTCTCTCAAACTGTGGTTTAAAAGGTCCATTATGTCCTTCACTCTCAAAACTTGGTTTTCTTTCCAAACTTATCCTTGGCGGAAATCCAATCTCTTATCTACCTCCCAATTTCTTGAAAATTTCCTCTCATTTGGTTTCTCTCAGTTTGGCAGATTGCAATCTGAGTGGCCATTTTCCAACAGAAATTCTCTTGTTACCGAAAATTATACACATTTAAAATGAACGTAAACTAATGAGCCATGCTGCATCCTATGTGCTGTCACAGGTAAACAGCCTTTAAATTCCCCTCTATGCTTTAAGTCATTGAATGTAGGTGTTGGCATTTGAATTGTTTGAAGTAGAAAACAACCCAAAGTACGATTAAAAAAAAACCCTTTAGCAGGAGATAATGATAAGAAAACCTTCTGCAACGAGTGCATTGTTATACAGTGATAGTGCTTTTTATCTCACCACTGATTCTAAAGGAGAAAAAAATAGACTAACAGTGATAAATTTTTTTCAATTTCAGGAGACAAACTAAAGTATATATTTAGACCAATTACTAAAGTTGCAGGTGAGAAGCAGGTAGTAAATTGAAAGAAGTTTCGAAAAAAGTGGGAAAATGGTTCCATTTCCAAGTCATAGTCGTAGCAGTTGAAATAAGACTTTGACATTTTCCAATGACAAAGACCAAATACAGTAACATATAATGCTACCATTCTCTTTGTTTGGAGATTAACAAAATAATATACTAATAAAGATTTGTCTATATATATGTTGTATATGGAAATAATCTTCCTTCACAGCCATAGCCAGCAAACATGAAGACACTCCTTTTTCTAATTTCACTCACCTTTCTCTTATCTTCCTTCCTTTCTCTTGTGTTTTCTTTTTCTACTGTCCAAACTCATCTCCCAGTGCAATGCCTTGATGACCAGAGATCCTCTCTGTTGCAATTGCAGCATGATCTCTACTATGCCCCGAATTTTACTCTCTCTTCCAAATTTGAGCTGTGGGATCTCAACACTGATTGTTGCTCTTGGGAAGGAGTTACTTGTGATGCTCTTGGTCATGTCATTGGACTCGATCTTAATTACAAATACCTTTCAGGCACCTTTCACTCCATTTTCGATCTCCATCATCTTCAACGCCTTAACCTTGCTGGAAACAACTTCAACACCACTTTGGTTTCCTATGGGTTTGATAAACTCCAAAATCTAACTCATCTCAACCTTTCAAGCTCATGTTTTCATGGCCAAATTCCAGTGGAGATCTCATTCTTAACAAGGTTAGTTTCTCTTGATCTATCTTATCAAGATGGTTGCTATAGGAGAAATGGTGATGGTTATGATCATTTACTTACTCTAAGACTAGAGAAACCAAACTTCAAAACATTGACCATGAATTTGAGGCTTCTCAAGGAGCTTTATTTGGATGGTGTGGACATTTCAACTCATAGTAGTTAATGGCGTGAAACCACGTCTCTAGTACTTTCCAACCTGCAAGTGTTGAGTCTCTCAAACTGTGGTTTGAAAGGTCCATTGTGCTCTTCACTCTCGAGACTTCATTTTCTTTCCAAACTTATCCTTGATGAGAACCCAATCTCTTATTTACCTCGAAATTTCTTGGAAATTTCTTCTGGTTTGGTTTCTCTCAGTCTGGTGAATTGCAATCTCAGTGACCATTTTCCAACAGAAATCCTCTTATTGCCAAACATTCAAAGCATCAACATTTCAAGCAATTACGATTTAGTGGGTCAATTGCCAGAATTTCCATCAAACAATGCTTTGAGGAGTTTGTCACTTTATGATACAAATTTCAGTGGAAAACTGCCTGAATCAATAGGTAACCTTAATTTCCTGAGGGATTTAATTCTTGATGATTGTAACTTTCTTGGATCCATTCCATCTTCAATTGCAAGTCTTGGTCTTCTGGTGAACCTGCATCAAGCACGTAATAATTTCAGTGGGCATTTTCCACCAGAAATTCTCTTATTGCCAAGAATTCAAAGCATTGACATTTCAACAATGACTATCTTATGGGTCAGTTACCAGAATTTTCATCAAACAATGCTTTAAGAAGTTTATCGCTTTCTGGAACAAATTTCAGTGGAAAACTGCCTGAATCAATTGGGAAGCTTATGTTCTTGAGGGATTTAACTCTTTATGATTGTTATCTTTTTGGATCCATTCCATGGTCAATTGCAAATCTTACTCACCTGGTGAATATGGACCTATCAGATAACAATTTCAGTGGTCTAATCCCTCCCTTTCATAGATTTGGAGTTCCAAATCTTACATATCTCAATTTGGAAGGGAACAAGCTTTATGGATCAATACCTTCTTCTTTATTTACTCTTCCATCATTGCGGGGACTGTCTCTGGAAAGAAATCAATTGGTTGGGAAAATCGATGAGTTCCCCAATGCATCTTCTTCATTGATTGAGAAGTTGGAACTAAAGAATAATTATTTATCAGGACCAATCCCAAAGTCAATCCTTCAACTTCCAAGACTTGAATGGCTTTCTTTTGAAGACAATTGCTCCAGATCCATGAAACTTGACATGTTCTTCAAACTCAAGAACTTGAGGGGTCTTTATCTATTCAATATAAGTTTGTTAATCGAAAGTGACAACAAAAGTCGCACTTTTCCTCAATTAAGGATCCTAATCCTAAGCTCATGCAACCTTACGGAACTTCCAGAATTCATCAAAACACAAGACAAGTTGACTGTTCTAGATCTTTCTAACAACCATATCCACGGTGTTGTGCCTAATTGGTTGTGGAAGAGCTCTCTTCAATTGGTAGACCTTTCTTTCAATCCCATTGATTTTCCAAAACAGCTTCCCTTCGGTGATGCAAACTTCTCTTCTCCGGTGCTGACGGAATTATACTTGGACTCCTGTAACATACGTGCTTTTCCGGAGTTCTTACGGAGTCTAGAAAACTTACAAGTACTCTACGTCTCCAATAACAGAATAAGTGGTGCAATACCAAACTGGGTGTGGAAGAGAAGTTTGAGTGATCTGAAACTTGCTAATAATCATCTCTCATCTTTGGTCCAAGATTTACCCAACCAGAGTTCAACTTCTTCACAAGCCTCTTTACTTGCACCTTTTTGCAAAATGAGTCAACTTAGCTATTTCGATGCATCTTATAACAATTTGAGCGGCACAATTCCAAGTTGTTTAGGCAATATGAGTGCTCTCAGATTTTTGGATCTTCATGGAAATAACTTGAGTGGAATCTTACCAAGATTTTCAAAAGCAACCCCATTATGGCTTCTCAAAGTTAGCGAGAATATATTGGAAGGAGAGCTGCCGAGATCATTGGCAGAATGCACTCGGCTTCAAGTTCTGGACGTGGGAAACAACATGATGCATGATACATTTCCTTTTTGGTTGGAGAACTTGCCTGATTTGGCAGTTTTGATATTGCGGGAAAATAGATTCTATGGTCAAATTAAACATTTGAAACATAAAATTGGTTTCCCAACTTTGGATGTGTTAGACATTGCTTCTAACCACTTTTCTGGTGAACTATCCATTGATTTCCTTAATGCCACTCAACTAAGATCGCTCAAAATCGGGGGGAATAGATTGGAAGGGAAGCTGCCAAGATCATTAGCCAATTGCACAAAACTTGAGGTTCTGGACCTTGGAAACAATATGATTCATGATACATACCCGTTTTGGTTGGCAAAGTTGCCTTCCTTGAAGGTTCTCATTCTACGAGGCAACAGATTTTATGGTACAATTACAGGATTTGATGCTGGAAGTGGTTTTCCAAAGCTACGCATATTGGACATTGCTTCCAACAACTTTTCAGGTGACTTGTCCATTGAGTTTTTACAAAGTTTGAAGGCAATGATGCAGATGACTAATGACGAGAAAGCTAAGCTGGATTACATTGGAGGGCAGAACAGTATTGTACGACGGTACTATCAAGACTCTGTGACGATTGTTAACAAAGGGGTTGAGATGTTTTATCAGAAAGTCTTGACCATACTTACTTGTTTTGACCTGTCCAACAACAGTTTCCATGGAAGAATACCAGAAGAAATACAAATTCTCAAGTCACTCAGAGTGCTAAACTTATCAAACAATGGCTTCTCTGGAGAAATCCCATCGGCACTTGAAAACATAAAAGACCTTGAGTCCTTGGATCTGGCACAGAACAAACTTTCAGGGAAGATTCCTCCACAGCTTACAAGTCTAACTTTCTTGGCAGCATTGAACTTATCTTACAACCAACTTGAAGGGAGCATACCACAAAGCAACCAATTCAATACATTTGCAAATGATTCTTACCGGGGGAACCCAAAATTATGTGGGCCACCATTTTCAAGTAAATGCAATGAAGTTGGTCTTCCAATGCCACCTCCTCCAGGGGAAGATGAAGAAGATTCATGGTTGGATGCTATGTCTATTTGGCAAATTGCTTTGGTAGGCTATGCTAGTGGTTTGGTCGTTGGGCTATGTATTGGATATACAGTGCTGAATGAGTTGGGGAACAAATGGGTTTGCAAGTTCAGAATGTATGGGAGGAGAAACAGAAAAACATCTAGATGACTCCATCAGAATTCATGTTTCAAAATCATCAGGTAAGCATTTCCTTTAGAAACTTTTGTCTTTCTAATTTATAAAGATAGTTGTTACAAACTATGATATATACAGTTTCAAATTCCCTACCTCTTCATGTTTCCATTTTGCAATGCAGGATGTAGTTGAAGCAGGACACATGGGACTACCAGAATAAAGTTAGAAAATGATATGCACATGGTGCAAACTCTTATCCCAGAATTAGCATGCTGCCCACAATTCTCAATCTACTTTATTTTCCGACATATATAATGTATTTGTATTTTTTTTCTTCATTTTATATTTATAAATATTTGAGGCAGGCAAAAAGAAGAGAGAATATGTGGTGGTTACGTAGGATCTCCGGCTATATATATGTACCTAGTGTTATGTGTTTTTTCTTTTAATTCTCTTGTAATTTTGTGTTGAACATAATAATTTTTTTTAATCTGCTTGTGGTTTTTCCCGTCAAGGGTTTTCTACGTAAATTTATATGTTTCAATATTTTTAATTTTAGAATCAATTGTTTGTCATTATCTTTCCTAATTTCCTAGTAATTATATCAGAGTGCCACCATTGGCTGACCATGTGAGACACTATGAAGAACGTTGGCAACGATCCTAACAAGTTTAATCCAACTGATTTGTAATTTGACCCTTATATACACCTTTTTCCTTCTATAGTTTACCATGAGTACATAATTGACAAGATTTGGCTGACCATGTGAAACACTGAACTTGATTTTCAAAGCAACTAAGAGAAACTCGCTTTCATTAAAAGTACGCGCGTACATACATAGACACATGCATGCATGTATACATACATAAGTCATCACCTTCAGGATTCCAAATCCCCTGCTTCCTCCAGGGATTGAGTTCTATGCTTTGAACAGCTCCAAATCCATATTCTGAATTCAACCGTCTTTGATTCTACACAGCCTAAGAGATGAAGACTTTACCATAAAGTTGAAATCAAATGATGGGTTTTAATTAAGAACCTTCCTATAAAATCTCCCCCAAACACAGATGAGAAAGTTTTTCTTATTATTTTCTTAGAATCTTCCTTTGTATGGAGCATCAAATGGTTGAATTTACCCTTTTCTTTTTGTAAAGGAATTAACGGCTTGAAAAAAATAATGTAAAGATTTAAATTTTAAAGAGCAAAAAGTCCAGAAAAATAATTTATATGACAACTCGGTATAGATGATATACTTTAGGAGGCAATGATGCATTAAATCCTTGTGATTTTATTTTTTAGACGAAGTCTTGATCCATCTAATTGGATTTTTTGAATTCCCATGAAAATTATTTCTTATGGAAAATCGATTTTATAATCAAATTAAACATTGAAGCATAAAATTAAAACTTTGGATGTGTTAGACATTATTTCTAACCAAATTTTTGGTAAATTATCTATTGATTTCATAATGTCACCCAACTAAGATCCTCAAAATCGGTGGTAATAAATTGGAAGGAAACTTGTCATGATCATTAGCCAATTGCTCAAAACTTGAGGTTATTTTGAATAATTTATGTCAAGAGAGAATGTGTCAATTGAAAACTTTTAACTATTTACTCTAAAGTTTATCGACAAACTTAAGGTTTTAAATCATAAAAACAATTTTGATTCATGATATATTCTCGTTTTCATTGTACAACTGTCTTGTTAAAGGTTTTATTCTACGAGAAAACAAATATTGTGGTACAATTATAGAATTTGATGCTGAAATTGGTTTTCCAAAACTATATATATTAGACATTGCTTCCATCAACTTTTCAGGTGATTTGTGCATTACTTCATCATCCATGAGAGAGATTCATTTGGATTTTGGATCTGTAAATTGGATGTCCATTATAAATATGGAGATGGAAACAACATTTTTTTTTATCTTTAATGTCTGTTTTATTATTAGTGTTTAAATTTCCTTTTGACAAATATCATATCCTTATCAGCAATATCAACAATCTCACATATATGTTAGTGACTATGACCAGAAATCCCCATCAAAATTAAGAAAAGAAAACCGTGGAATGAAAATGAAAAATGTATTCAACTAAAACCAAAAGCAAACTTCATCATTAAACCAGCTACATAGGCTATATTATAGCACTTAATTAGTCATAGAGACTTCTCCTTCAAAGGAAACTAATACATGAAAACTAAACTGACCCAAACATTGCAAAAAATGGAAATACAATCCATTTGCATTTATTTACTAATAACATAACATCTTTGCTTCAAACTTCACTCAGTCTGCTCATTCTCTTCTCCATATCCAGACTAGCTTTGCTCTTCTTTCTTGACTCTTACACAGTCTTCTTCCTTAATGTTTGGCTCAAAATCCTGTCAAATTGTGAGCAAAAATACAAATGGATAATGGATAACGAGAGAAATATATTTATAACAAATGGATAATGAGGAAAAAAGACGACTTACGGGACTATAGATGGAAACCTTAGCAGCTTTGGCATATCTCACATATCGCATAAGATCTTCGTAAGTGTAGAAACGCTGGTCAGTGGCTGGACATAGGTAGCACTGCAATTAATCCAAATCATTTCATCACTCACTCATTCTTTTCTCAAGTTTATAAAGATATTATTCAGGCGACAGTATATTAAAACTAAAATTAAGCAACAAAATACCTCGACTTGATGACCATATTCAGTGAGCTTAGTATCCAAAACCCAGCCTTCAGGGATGGGACCAGGCGAAACCTTGATGTCCTTTTGGTCTTTCTGATCACCCATTTTCTGCAAGTTTCAAAACCCACCAAGAAAACCTCTCTGTAAACTGTGAACCAATGTCTTTTATGTCAGTATGAACACTGTACATGAAAATGGTGCAACCGAAGGGGGTTTATATAGCAGTTTGGAACCACATGATCTGCGTTGTTTCGTCGAGAAATGAGAGTTGAAGTTGCAGGTAATCGAGTATAATGTGAGGTTTCAGTTTCTTGCTTTGCTGGTGTTTCTGGTTCATGCTAGAAATGACACTTAAGAAGAAACGGAGCTCTCGAATTTGGTGATAAAAACGGCCGTTAATTATCCAAAGGGTAAAGTAACTTTTTAGACCCTGAATTTCACAAAATTTCTCAACTTGATCACTAAACTTAATTTTGGTCCACAATTGTTTTTGAACTTGAACTTTTTAACATTTTGATGACGTGTGATTATATAAAAATATTATATATCTTAACAGAAAAAAGTGTCAAATTCATGGATTAACATGGATTAAAAATCGAGGAACCCAAAAAAATTTATCAGAAAATAAAAAATATTTATTTAATCAAAAAATAAATCAAAGGGTAAACTACATATTTAATTACTCAACTAATCGTATGGTTCCGTTTTGATTATTTAACTATATTTTCTTTAAAAAAATCATATCTAACAACACGTTTTGGTTTCAATTTGATCACATGCTTTTAAAAACTAAAATGTGATAAAAATGTGTCATTATAAGATAATATCACATCATCATCGAGATTTTTTTAAAAAAATATCATGTAAGTAATTATGTTAACTTTTTAACGGTAGATGATCAAAATGAAACAAAAATGTAATATTAGGTATAATTTTAAAAGAAAAAACAATTCAAAACCACTTGAATAGTTAAATCACTAAATAAGTAGTTTATCCTAAATTAAAACAAGGTAAGTAATCATTTGAGAGAGTATGAATTAGTATGAGTCGGGTAGGATCAATTTTTTACAATCCAGACCCTGACTTGATTTATTCTGCTCAATTTGATCCCAACCCAACTTCGAATAAAATATAAATTAATTGACCATGACTTCGACTTTGAAATTTTTTTATACACACGGTACCAACTCGAATATAATTTTCTTTTTCATAAGTTGTAACAAAGAAGGAAAGGAAAGGTACGATCACAATAAAAGAAATTAAAAAATAAATCAAAAAGTTCGTAAAAAGATTTATTATGTTGTACGCAACAAAAAAATAACAGATGATTTTTAAAAAAAAAATAAATAAAAATATATCTGAAAGTTGGGTACTTAACCAAAAAAAAAATCAAACATCAAATGAAAAAAATTCAAAACATACCAAAAAAATTGAATCCATCAAAATCGAAAAAACCATCACGTCTAGAAGGAAAAACTCTTAAGGGGACGTTTGGATGGGGAACGTAGGATTCCCATGGGAATGAAATCCACATTCCCTCGTTTGGTTAGCCGGGAATCTCATTCCCGGTAATATAAGATTACCAATAGTGGATTTTCGGGGGTATATTATCAGGAATGACATTACCTCCATTTCCTTAGGTATTGTTGGATTACATGTGTTTTGGACTAAAATGCCTTTAAATTGTTTTTCAAAAATATTCTTCTTCTGTGATTGAATAATAAAAATTCTACGAAGTTTAAATTACAAATTTATCCTTAAACTATTTTAGATTTACAAAAAAAGTCTATAATTAAAATTTTATATGAAGTTCAGAGGTTAAAATAAAATTTTACTCTTTCATTAAACCTTTTTTATATTTTCAATTTTATAAAAAAGTTATATAAATTTTATGAATTTAAATTTTTTAAAGAAAATATATAAATATTTTTCAACTTGTTAAAAAAATAAATATATAATAAGGACAATTTGGTCAAATATACATTCCAATAATATTTTATTCCTTTAACTAAACACGATAATCTTACATTCCTGCTAAACCAACCAAACACAAAATACAACATTCCTAGTAATCCTATTCCCTAATAATCTTACATTATCACTGGTAATCTTACATTCCGTGAACCAAAAGCACCCTTAGGGGTGTTTGGTTCAAGTAATATGAGATTATCAGGGGAATGGAATGTCATTCCCCTGTTTGGTTGGTCAGTAATCATATTCTCCGGTAATATTTTATTACCAACAGTGGTATTTTGGGGGTATATTACCAAGAATGAGATTACCTCCCTTCTCTTAGGATTTTTTTTTTCTTTCAAAAAAATCATTCTTCTGTCGTTGAATAATAAAAATTCTACGAAAGTTAAATTACAAATTTATCCTTAAACTATTTTAGATTTACAAAAAAAAACTCATAATTACAATTTTATATGGAGTTCAGGAGTTAAAATAAAAGTTTACCCTTTCATTCAACCTATTTATCTATTCAATTTTGTAAATATATATATATATATAATTTTTATGAATTTAAATTTTTTAAAGAAAATATATAAAATTAATTATATTAATATTATAATAAAATTCAACTTGTTAAAAAAATAAATATATAATAAGTACAATTTGGTAAAATATACATTTCAATAATCTTTATTCCTTTAAACAAACAATGTAATATTACATTCATATTAAATGAATCAAACACAAAACATAACATTTTCAGTAATCTTATTCCCGCCGATAATCATATTCCTACTGGTAATCTTACATTCCGTGAACGAAACGCAATCTTAAGGGTATGAAACAAATTCTCGCAACATTAGAAAGAATAAAAAAATTGTAAAGTGAGAATCGAAGTGAAAAAGAATGAGAAAATGAGAGAAAAAGAAGAAGCGGTGTGCAAAAGGGGAAAGTAAGAAGAAAACGACGTGAGGAGAGAAAAAAGAAACGATATGAAAAGGGGGGGGGGAAAGACGGAAAGAAAGAAACCACTGCGTGAGGAAGAAATGATAATAAAAAAGTTTAACCCTAAATAATATGTATATATAATGACACATTTTTAGATATACTAAATAATATACGATAATATTTTAAATAATATCAGGTACGGTAAAATTGTGGATTATTTATTTTATACTTGACTCTGATCTCATACTTCCAAAAATTAACTTTAAATGATTTGAGAATTAATTAGAAGCTAAATTGACTTTAAATGGTGAAATTACTGTAGGCTAGTTGAAAGGGTTCTAAATCAAATAATAGCATCAGATGCTAAACTAAAAATCATATTAGAGAGGAAAGAAACAAGAGTTATGAGAACAATCTAATTAAAGATGATGGCTAGAGGAACAGAAAATTAGACATGTGAAGAATGTATAAATCTATTTGGTTGTTATGTGTAAACCAATGAAATTCGATTATTTAGACTTGTTATCATTTTAATTCATGTTTTGATATCACATGAATTCATTAATTATTAAATAAGCATTTATGGTAGTATTATTTTTTATTAAGCTAAAGGGGATTACAAAATAGTATATATTATAAGTATTTTCAACCATTTAACAATGAACATTAAATCACCTTTGCAATCGTTGGTGTTCAAATTCGTGACTTCTAAGAATAACAACAATTTATTTAGTGACTAGGAAAGTTGGTTCGTACAACATTTATGGTAATCTTTAAACATAATATAGGTTGAGCCAAATCATAATATTTGAAGACTAAGATAACCATGGAAACACAACTTATATTTTAAAGGATAGATTACACGTTTAATACCTAAACTATCAGTTTTATTTTATTTTAATATATAAACTTTTTATTTGTTTTGAAATCATACCTAATGTTTACTTTTTGTTTCATTTTTAATACTTTATCGTTAAAAACTTAATAGAATTGAATTGCTGCACGTGGCATTTTTATGGGTAAATTACATCATTCATCACTTAACTATCTTCTCACTCCTATTTTGGTCACTAAAGTTTAAAATTTTCAATTATACTCAAGTTTCAAACTGGTCATGTTTTAATTACTCTAATTTATTTTATTAATAATTTTGTGACATGACATTTTTTATTATTTTATTAATATATAATTAAAATAAAAATAGAAAATTGAAAGTTAGAGTGACTAAATTAGAGTAATTTGAAAGTTAAGTGATTAAATTAAAAAAAATAAACTTGGGTGACCAAAATATGAGTGAGAAGATAGTTGAGTAATGAATGATGTAATTTACCCTAAAAAGTGTCATGTTGTAACAGTTACTCTAAGCTTTTAACGGCGAGGTATTAAAATGAAACAAAAGGTAAATGTTATGTATGATTTTGAAATAAATAAAAGTTTAGGTATTAAAACGAAATAAAACTATTAGTTTAAGTACTAAACTTATAGTTTACCCTATTTTAAATTAGTAATGAGTTCCTTACTACGGACTCATTATCCTCTTCCCGAATGATAAGTCCATAGAATGTATAGTACTACCACTTTTAAATTCAAAGACCTCTCTTTTCCTTTTAGATGTAAGATTAATGTTTCCCACCTTTCGAAGACATCACAGTCTCTCATATTCAATATCTTGATGCCTCGTCATAGGCCATTGTTACAGTTGTTTATCCTATCTATCTCACTTATTGACGTGCTCAACTTGAAATCGGACAATTTAAAAATCATTTTGATACTATTTATCATAGAATTATTATCATATTCCTAAAAGATATGTTTGATTGAATGTGCAATATATCGCTTTTAAATTTTATGATCTTAAAGTTTCTTAGTTAAATGAATATAAAATGAAATAAATACATCACATTTCAAATCTTGTTCAACTCGAATAAGGGATGGGGCTACATAGAGAAGGGGAGGGGCTATGATTCATCCCATAATTTGTGGTGAAGTTATGTTTAAGCCCTTATCAATTTAGATTTAAGTTAAATTAGACTTTGATTCCTTCAATGTTTGGAATTAAATACTTAATAAATATTTATGATTTTGAATTTAAATAATTAATTCCTTCTAATATTTGGTCTTAATTTTATCTTTGAATTAAATATGATTGAATCAAATCAATAATTTCAAATTTAAATATCCCACCCTAAAACAGAGATAAATGTAAAATCTTATGTAAGAGAAAGATGTATTTATAGAATTTTAAAAGAGTGTGAAGTGAACTTATAAAATCCTCTAATGGGATGAAAATAAATTTTCAATAAAAAATAAAAAATATATATCTAAAATATATCAAACTTAAAACTCGTAGGGGCTACTAGTCTCACCTACTCTCCCTCAAACTATCCATGCTCTAATGTATAGTCTATAGCCAGCTTTTTTTAAAAAAAAAATTCCTAGACACGTTCTACGAATCTGTTATAGTGTGTAGATACGTTCTAGGAATCTGTTTTAGGCAAAGACAACCTTTTAATAAAATTGCCATACATTTGCACTAAATTGTAGAATATTGAGCATGTCACAGAGGTTTGAGAAAAACTATGCTACAGTTTTTGTCATTCTTAGCGGTTAATAATAAATAATAATTATGTGTCCTCAAGAAACAAAATAATAATCTTTTTATAAAGGAAAATGAAAATAATAATTGATTAGTGCATATCGACTTCATGATTAGGTCAGCCAGCCGGCCACATTTCCTATCTTAACGAGCAAAATTATTTTATTCATTGGACAATATTGAAGCGGTTTAGGTGACCTGCGAAACCCATATACACATCGTGACCATATGATACTAGATATAGTTCATATGGTTTATTCTCAATTTTCATCCGATTGTATATTCGACGCCTCTTGTGTGTAATTATTAGTATTTGTATATACTTCAAATAGCTTTCACCAGCTATACCTATTGCCTATACATATATCCAAAACTTCTCTTTCAAATTATATTCCTGGTAAATTGACATAGAACAAAGAAATATCAAACACAATACAAGTTTTAACCTTGTCCCTTTGTCTTTAACATTATCTTAGGATTGTTGCCGTGTTTGTCTGAAATGGTTTAACATCACGACAGTTTGCAGAAGAAACAGCAACGACATTGTTGTCAAAATCCGTTGATTTTCCAGGTAATAATCAATGGAATACAAATTGGTATATGCTGTTTGATACCCAAACCTCATTCTACGAGTTAAATACCTTGGATTACAAATCACCATACAAACTGGTTCTCGTCTTCGGAAAGGTCAGAGATTTCTGAAACTTTAAGACCATCTGTTCAACTGTTTGTTTTAATGTATTTTTTGATGTTGTTTCAGGTAAAACGTCAGCAATGTCGAACAACCAGATCGGTGTTCTTCATGCCTTGGATGCTGCGAAGACGCAATGGTACCATTTTACTGCGATTGTGATAGCAGGGATGGGTTTTTTTACGGATGCTTATGACCTTTTTTGCATCTCTCTTATTACAAAACTGCTTGGTCGGATTTATTACCACGATGGGAAGGTTGACAAGCCCGGAACATTGCCGCCTAATATCGCGGCGGCTGTTAATGGCGTCGCCTTTTGTGGAACTTTAGCCGGTCAGCTTTTCTTCGGGTGGCTTGGTGATAAATTAGGCCGAAAACGGGTTTATGGACTTACGTTGATGCTCATGGTGATATGTTCCATTGGTTCTGGACTTTCATTTGGAGAGACGCCGAATGGTGTCATGGCAACGCTTTGTTTCTTCCGGTTCTGGCTCGGGTTTGGAATCGGAGGCGATTATCCCCTGTCGGCCACGATCATGTCGGAATACGCCAACAAGAAGACTCGTGGTGCGTTTATCGCCGCGGTGTTTGCAATGCAGGGGTTCGGAATTTTAGCCGGTGGGATTGTTGCTCTGATTGTGTCATCTGCATTTGATCATGCCTACAAGGTTTCTCCGTATATCCTTATCAAGCAAAAATCAACTGTACCCCAAGCTGACTATATTTGGCGGATCATAGTGATGTTCGGAGCAGTTCCGGCTCTTCTCACTTACTACTGGCGAATGAAGATGCCGGAAACAGCCCGATACACTGCCCTCATAGCCCGAAACAGCAAACAGGCCGCCGCGGACATGTCAAAAGTACTAAACGTGGAACTCAAATCCGATGAAGAGAAGGTGGAGAAGATAATTACAGCACCATCCAACTCTTTCGGTCTATTCAGTAAGGAATTCGCCAAACGCCATGGATTACACTTGCTCGGGACAACTTCCACTTGGTTCTTATTAGACATTGCTTTTTACAGCTCCAATCTGTTCCAAAAAGACATCTTCACCGCAATCGGGTGGCTCCCAAAAGCCGAAAACATGAGTGCGACACACGAGGTTTATCGAGTCGCGAGGGCTCAAACGCTCATCGCACTCTGTGGCACGGTCCCGGGGTACTGGTTTACCGTAGCTTTGATCGATCACATCGGTCGGTTCACGATCCAATTGATCGGATTCTTCTTCATGACTGTGCTCATGTTTTCACTTGCCATCCCATACAATCACTGGAAATCCCACAATGCCGGCTTCCTCGTCATGTATTCGTTAACCTTTTTCTTTGCAAACTTCGGACCGAACGCGACGACATTCGTCGTCCCGGCTGAAATCTTCCCCGCCAGGTTGCGATCGACCTGCCACGGGATATCAGCAGCAGCCGGAAAAGCCGGGGCGATCGTCGGTGCATTCGGGTTCTTATATGCTTCACAAAGCCAAACGAAACCTGATGCAGGATACCATCATGGTATAGGAGTTAGAAATGCACTAATGGTGCTCGGCGCAGTCAACTTTCTGGGCTTTCTTTTCACTTTTCTGGTGCCGGAATCGAAGGGGAAATCGTTGGAAGAGCTGACAGGTGAAAACGAAGAAGATAATGAGAACGAGCAGACAACTTCGATTGAGAAAGTTTCTGCCGTCTGACTATAACAAATTCAACTAGGATGTTTCAGATCAAACAAACAGGAGATGGAATTCAAGCAGTAAAATAATGTGAGCTGTGTGCATGTGATGATAATCATATATTACTTTAATTGCTGGATTATGTGTTTTTTTATGGTCATGGTGTGATTTGTGAGGGATCATCCCAAATCAAAATAATACTAATGTGTTATTATCTGTTATTTTGCTTAAAGCTTTTCTATTTGTACAGTCACCATTAAGCATGAATAAATTTCTTTAATAGACCCACAACGCTGTGTTAGGACACATATACAGTTGGTACGAAATCGAGTAAAATAATGATAAAATTTTATAAAATAAGACCATAAAAGTTTATGTGAAAATTTTATAATTTTTCTATAAAAATAAAATACACAATACTAAAAGTTAACCTCAATGTTTGCTTAAATTATTTAACACTCAACATTTTAATTTTGATCAAAAAATACCTTTTAAATGAGAATCGTTAATTTATTGATGATTAATTTTAACATATTAATAAATAATTTGTATTTAATATATTAATGATGAATTATAATATAAAGAGTTAATTGCATCATATATCCCTAAACTACCCTCATTTTAAATTGGTCTTTAAAGTTTTAAATATTCTAATTTCATTCCTAAATTATGACTCTCATTCTAAATTAGCCCTTAAGCATTTGAACATTCTAATTTCATCCCTAAACTATGACCCTCATTCTAAATTAGTCCTTAAACATTTGAACATCCTAATTTCATCCCTAAACTATGACCCTCTTTCTAAGTTAGTCCCCAAAATTTTGAATATTTCAATTTCATCCCCAATTTCATCCAAATAGTTAATTAGTTTCAACCATAATTTAACATAAATTTTGTTTTTTTAAATATAATAATATAACTTGGTCTAACGATTTTATTAACAGGAGATGTGATTAGTATAAACATATATTTTGGGATGAAATTGGAATGTTCAAAAAGTATGGGGACCAATTTAAAATGAAGGTTATAGTTTGAGGTTAAAATTGAAATGTTCAAAAGTTTAAGGACTAATTTAGAATGATAGTCATAGCTTATGGATAAAATTGAAATATTTAAAAGTTTAGGGATCAATTTTAAATAAGATCATTTTTTTGAAAACATGTGATGTAATTAACTCTAATATTAAATATGTTGTAGTTAAAAGTTGTTATAATATATTAAGGTAATTAATAAATATTCTTAATATTTTTTTTATAAAAATATATAACATAGTATATGAAGGTAGTTAAATTATGTATATATCTATATTTATAAAAATATATTAATTATAATATAAATTAAAATATATGAAATTAAAATATTTTTTGATGTGTTAATAGTTAACTGTTAGTTGATTAACGATTTCCATCTAAAAGATTTATTTTAATAAAATTTGAACATTGAGGATTAAAATACTAAAATGAAGAAGAATTGAAGTGATTATTTTAACAAAAATTAAATGGATTTTGGTACTATTCTATAATAAAATCGACATCACTTTAAAATCATCATAAAAGAATATTATATATTAATTTCTAAATTCGAATATCATAATTTTAATTTTCCGACTCTTCTTGTTAGACTGAACGATCTAGTCCGTAATGTAAGGATTTATGATTTTAACTTTTTTTTGTATAAAAAATATTAAAATTACTAAAATATATACTATAATTTAGTTATTTAATTTTTTTGAGATATGGGCCTCTTGCGGGCAAAAAAGAAAAAAACACAGGCCAGCCGTGTATTTATAATTCGATTGGCAAGTCCATCTAAAGAAAAGGGAATCCTAATTCGATTCGAGGTATTTTAAACCCTAAATCGGAGATAAAGGAATCACAGAATTCCAGGTAAAATCCAGAAATCAATTCTTCAAAAACAAGAAGAAGAAGATTCATTGCAGAGTGATGTCGGAGGCCTACGAGAGGGTAAAAGGAGGTAGATTAACCTTCAAAGGAGGAAGCTTAGCCACTCGAAAATCAATCGACAAAAGCAAGAAGAAGCACAAGAAGAAAAAGATCGCCGATGATGATGATTCCCAGCCTTCCCTCGATGCTTCTGCCGCCGCCGTTGTCGAAGGTTCCGAAACTGGTGGAAGCGATATCTACACCATCGACGCCGCTAAAAAGATGAAGTACGAGGAGTTGTTCCCCGTCGAGTCTAAAAAATTCGGCTACGATCCCAAAAACCCTAAAGCCATATCTGTGGAACAAGCCCTCGATGATCGTGTTAAGAAGAAAGCTGATCGTTACTGTAAATGAGGTGCTCTTGTTGTTAATTTACTAATGTCTTGTATTTTCATACAATTTCAATAGAATTTAACTAAATGATCATGGTCTGGGTTTCAGCTAAATCTGCTGCTTTTAAGTGTTTTTGTTATGCTAAATTGGATTAATTGGTCATTATTTGTTAATTTTGCAGCATTTAGATTCATCTGATGAACGAATATGCATTGTTATGTGGTTTTGATTGTTCTCTTAGCTAACAATGTTAATTTGGTTGCTTCAAGTGCTTTTTGAAACTACTAATTCAGTTGTTTTTCTATGAACACCGGAGATTTCATGAACACCCACAAAGTTACTTTGGTCGACCGTTCGGTTCGCCTGTTGAACATATGAATTGCTTTATGTTCATCAATTTGTTACACTCTTAATCAACTAATTTAATGGTTTGCTTCAATTGCTGGCATCCGAAGGTTTCAGATACTAGTAATTTAACTCTTGCTTTTCTATGATTAGTTGATAATCAAGATCACCCACGCCAAGTTCTTCAACCATTAGGTTCATCAGTTGAACATGCACTGTTATTTTTCTTGCACTGTGGCTTTAGCTATGGATATAGTTTCGATTTTTCGAACTCTTTATCAGCTGAAACTTATCGGATTGCTTTCATTCCTGATTTCAGAAACTGATAATTTATCTTGGGTACCTGGATGCGAACTAAGCATCATCTGGGTTATAACTTTTACTGAAATTTCTTTGTCAGGTACACAGGTAACCCCATTTGCTATGTTCCTCAAAGCCGGGTTCTTTTGTTTAGCATGTACTTGACAAAGTTCCTAAGCATACTTCTCTAGGTTAATCTACTTCTCACTTTTCTTGTCTGATTCCTTATGTTTGATATAGATTAAAATGGAAATCTAAAGAAACTAGTAAGAACAGATTGAAAATTGGAAAAGATTAGAAGATATTAACATAGATATTGTAGTTTTAGAAGATATTGAGTAATATAGATATTGTTGTTTTAATTTGTCTTTGTTTTTTTTAGTAGCAGAGAATGGAATGTGGACTGGACTTTATGATTTGTGTTGGGTCATCTGGTTTCACATTCTTGCTGAAATTTGTCATTGGTATGTTGAGTAACATAGAATGGAATGTATCATCATTTTATTGAACACTAACATCATAATTAATGTATTTTTATAAATATATATTTAATTAATTTCAACCACAATTTAATGTAAATATTATTTTTGTCAACAACATAATAAATTAACAGTTTGGTTTAGTGATTAGATATTGAATCACTCTTCTATTAGTCCCTGGTCCCACAAGTGAATTATAGTTTCTTAATTTTTCAACCAATGCAATGTGATAAATGTAGAGTACATGTAAAAATGTGACATCAACCCTTAAACACGTGTGAATGTGTAATGTTAATAACAAGTGTTGATTATTAGTTGACCAATGATTTTTATCTATATAAGGGTCGTTTTGATCAAAATTGAAACGTTGAAGGCTAAAATAATTCAAAATAATAAAGGACTAAAATGATTACAATATAAAATTTAAAGGTGAATTTTGATATTATACCAAGAAAAAAGAGAGATTATTATATGTTTTTAACGTTTTCTTCTTGCTAGGGGACCAATTGTATTTGTAACACATTTTCAATGACTTATTTTGCTTTGGTGTTGTACCAAAACTATATATGTTTTGAACGTTTATAATTTTATTTTTCTTCTTTTGAATGAGTGATTATCAATTTGCTGATAGATCAATTTACATGCCGTATAGTATTAACGACTTTCGAAATCTTTAAAAAAAATAGTGGCAATTTCAAAAGATATTTTTGAAAATTTAAAATTAAAATGATTTTAATCAATTATCTTAAAATTATTATTTTTAACTAAACTCACTAATTTATTCTCTCTCAAATTTTCTAATTAATAGTTTTTAATATTTTTAATTTTGAAGATGCATACAAGGATGAACTGATGGGCAATACGGTTGTGTTCCTTAGATTAAACATTTATATAGTTTAATTATTCTTTATTAATGATTTTAATATAATTTTACAAATTTGTATTCTTAACCTAAAATATTTCGTCTGTTTTTGGATGCAAAGAAATAAAGGTAGGAGATTTTCATTTATTTTAGTCTTAGTCATTAATGGTATGCATTAAAGTAATATCTAACGACTTTGTTCAAGTCATTAAAGTCAATTTTCTCGGCTATATCATTAACGGTGCATGAAAGTAATGTCTAACGACTTTGTTCAAGTCAAGTCATTAAAAAGACAATTACTCTAATTTTCTCAACTGGCTGATATTGATTAATAGTATAAAATTTTAGAGTAGAGTAAATTTATAAATTTTTAGAGTAATGAAAATAAATTATTAGTAATATATATATATATATATAAAGAATATGAAAATTTTTTGGGATGATTGATTGGATTTATCCCTGATTGATGGCACTAGGAGTGTGAATTTTCTTATAATGTTGGCATTTCTCAATTCTTTACAACAATTATTTTTAATTTCAAAAGATTTCTTTTAAATTTTATCACATGAATCAAAAGAGAGTGATATTAAAGAATAGTCAACTATTGAAAAATGTTGTCATGCCTATTAAAAAGTACTAAAATGTCAACGAAATTAAAGACAAAAAATAAAACAATGAATTAATGAGTTTAAAAAAAAATATTATTTATAATATGCAGGGTAAACTGTGTATTTACTCATCAATTATTCATTCGGTTTTGTTTGTCATACAAATATTTTTTAAAATTATTACTAATATTACGTTTTGATTTAATTTTAGTTATTTGTCGTTAAAAAAATTAACATAACTACTGATGTGATTTTTTTTCAATGATTACATGATATTATCTTATAGTAACACGTCAACATCATTATTAACTTCTTAAAGACATGTGATCAAAATGAAATCAAAACGTAACATTAATTATGATTTTGAGAAAGAAAATAGCTGGATGACCAAAATAAAATCACGAATAATTAAGTGACTAAATACATAATTTACCTTAGCAATGATATTATGATAACATGCATCGTTATCTTATCCGAATGAAAGTGAAGAAAATAGAATTGTAATCGAAGATATTTATATTAGTGGTAATAAACTGAGAAGCTGATTAGAAAAGTCGTCGCTTGACAATATATATCATAAACACTCTTCAGGATGCGATTCAGAAAAAGCATGGCGTCTTTAATTTTGTTAGTGAAAGCACTTATGATCAGATCCCAGGATCATGATCTTTTGTCGAACCAGGTCGACAAGCAAGCTGATAAAGACGCTGAACATTATGTGAGAAATCAAGGGTTCCATGGCTGCATTTGGAAGCCTACGTGCATGGAGATAGAAGAAGACCACGATGGCCTCAGCTGGAAAATCGTTCACCATCGTTGCATTTGGCCTCGAATTCAAAAACCGTATGGTGTGTAATCTGAATTTCGTTTGAACCCAGTTGCACTCTCTCTTTTAACATAATAACACTTCTCTTCATTTATCCACGACTTTTTCCGTTTAAGATTTTCTACTTAAAATCTTATTATTTCTTTTTCTCTCTTTTATTTTATGATCGCCATAATTATTATCGATTTTTAATTAATTTTACTGATCAGAGAATGGTATGCATTTTTATTGAAATATTATGCAACAAAAGAGTTCCCAACAGAGGGTATACAAAATTAAAGATGTAAAAACCTCGAATGAATTAAGTGAAAATACACAAAGCCAGAAACACTTTCTAAACCTGCGGCTCAAATGTATGATGCATTTTATAATGCTACTGTCTTTATTTTCATGTATCAGTTCCAGTTTGTTATTGACTCAATTAAAGTTTTGGTTCATATTTGATTCACTTCTTTAATTGCTCACGTTTTGAGTTTGGTATTAGTTGACTTGCTTCTGAAAAAAATATATCTCAATAAATAAAAGAATGAAATAAATAAGGAAGAAAAATATATATAGAAGAAAAGAAAATAAGAAAAGTACTTCTGATTCGTGAACCATCTAAGTGAGAAAGAAAAAACTATGAATGAATTCTCTATAAATCGATGATGCTTGATAAAAATCTCATCATTAATACGTGAGTCGTCTCATTCATTCTTTGTTATAAGATCAGTTTTAAAAAATTACAGAATTTTTTTAAAAAATAAGGTGAATATTAAAAGAAGTAGATATTAAATTAATCCGCATAAGAGTAGGAGCCCTTTTGTTCGTTAAAATTTGTTGGGTCAATTAGTGGGTTCCTTTCATATTAGTTAATAGGCTATACAAGCCCACATATTGTAACTGGGTTAATACTTTTAGTCTTATTTAATAAAACAAATTTGATCCCTTCTTTGTAAGTCGGTCAAATATTTAATTATTTTTAAAATTGTAATATAAACTCCTTAATAATAATTGACTTTTCAATCATGTAAACCTATGTCATTCATCCCTCGCGTATAAATATACTTGTATTTTCAGAAGAGTGGTATATTTTTTAATCAAGCGAACTTAGGGTTGAGAAATCCTTTTGTTTTCAATCAATCAAGGCAGTGCTGATAATGGCAAGCAGGGGACCTCGATTCCTAATGACGGCGGATTACTCTCTCACTCCAACCAAGGCTCCTCGCGCTTCCCAGATCGAATTTCTACTCCATATTCGAACGTTTCTCGAGGATGATAATGGCCGTTTCCAAGAGGATCATTCACAGGATTTCCAGGATTTCTCCGTTTGGCCGCAATTTGTATTCGGCTCCCGTCGACACCACAACAATGTCGCTCGTCGATTACTCGAAGTCGGATGGATCGAACAACGCGGCCTTGAATGGATATTGGATCAAGTTTTCTCCGAATCAAATTCGATTATAGAAAAAGAGAAGAAGAGTCGCAATAGTAAGGGATTCGACAACGTGATAAGGATAATATTTCAAGTTAAAAAGTATGTGAGGCGGGAACACTATGATGAGTTAGCGGCGGCAAGGGCTACGGAGTTGTCGATGCGAGAAGCTCCGAAGCTAGTTCCGGCGACCAAAGAATCGATCAAAGCTTTGAAGAAACTGAAGCTTGTTGAAGGTTACGGCGACGGTATTGAGTGCGTGATTTGCATGGAGAAGTTAGTGCAGTCTAAAACGGAGGTAGTAACTTCCATGCCATGTTCTCATCTCTTCCATGGAGACTGTATCGAGAGGTGGCTGAGTACCGGTCATCTCTGCCCATTGTGCCGCTTTCCGATGCCAACTGATGCTGGGAAACATTAGGTTTATTTTTTTATTTTCGATTTGATTTGATTTGTTTTGCAATGTTCGCTGTAAACGTTTAAGGTTTAAATATATACATGAGCAATGCTACTATTTTTCATAATTGTTATTGTTTTCATGTATGATCCTAAATTATTTTATAGATGTTTATTTCTTCAAAAATTGATTATATATTATATATCAATATGATTAATATTTTATTTATAAGATTATTTTAAGTAAATTATAGTGAGAACATATTTCAATAATTTTTAAGATTATTGTTATTCAGATTCTGTTAACTAAATAATAATTTTAAATGTTAAATAAAAATAATAAAAATAATTTAATTTGCATTTCTATGAAAAACAAATAAATGAAAAGAATTTAAGGATGAACAAGAATATATACTAATCTAAGGAGGCCAAGTATAAATAATAATAAAAGAAAATTAAAATAAATTAAATTTAAGAGATTAAATAAATTTTTAATAATAAAAATATTAGGGATAGTGATCTTCCAAGATGAAGCATAGGTTCGTTCCTGAATGAATTAGCTACATGATTTAAAAGTTTTAAAGGAATTTTGCCATTCTTTTAATTTTAATGAATAATCCTGTAAAAGATAATTTATAATAATATAAATATACATGCGTCGAGGTTGTGAGGTTAGGTATAGGTCTGTAAACGAATCGAATGAATATGAATAAGGGTATGTTTATGTTGATGTTCATGTTCGTTCATTTAACTTTAACTGAATAATTGAACAAACACGAACAATTAAACAAATGAATTTTTTTTGTTTGTGTTCGTTTGCTAAGGAATGTAGCTTGCTCATGTTTGTCCGTTAAAATGATGAACGATCACAAACGAACGAATGTAAACGAACATAAATAAACGTAAACGATTATAAACAAACGAATATAAAATTAATTGAGTTCGTATTTGAGAAATATTTTTCTTTCCAAATAATTTTAGGGTTTATATTTTCTTTAATTGATTTGAGTATTTTTTTATTTGAGTTTAATATTAATTGGATTTAAGGCTAAAATTTATTAGGTCTTAATATTTTAAATGAGTTTGGAGATTAGGATGAATATAAATGAACGTACATAAATGAACATAAATGAATAGACTACCGAAAGTTTACGAACGTAAATAAACAAACGAGTCATTTATTCTTGTATTTGCAAATTGATGCTCAAATAAGTCCTTAACTTTAATTAACAACCAAATAAGCTCTGAATTTTTAACTTTGATCTAAATAGACAATCAAAAGAGTTCATATGATCTATCTTGGCTATTCTTCTTCTTCATCGTTGACCTTCATATCTTAATTGAGTTTCAGAATTATGGCAGGCCACACATGAAGAAGTGGTTGAAAGAATGTAACATAACATGGCCTCAATCACAGAAAAAACTCTATCAAGATGTCAATGGAAAAACAAGCACCGAGGTCGACCTAATGTACTTAAACTCATTGCTCGAAACGATGTCGTCGTCGTCAGTTTCCGATCGGAAATGAGCTCCGAAGGAGCTCCGGAGACTAACAAAGAATTCAAAATCATACAGGGCACCGCTCTGTGAGTTTACGAATGTCATCCCATGCTGCTCAGTCCACTATTGGAAACCAAGACCGAGTGTGATCCCAATCTGTGTGAGGATCTGATCACAACAGTGTTTAACGCTTCGCTTCATGTCAACAATAAGAAACAACTGGCGGAAAACCCTGTGGTCATCCCTCTGCTTATCGAGTACACGCTGCTCGGAACCATCGAAACAAGAAGAAATGCAGCAGCAACTTTCGGAAGTTTATCGGCACTCGATTCGAACAAGTTCATCATCGTGAATTCGGGCGCCGTTGCACCTCTACTGGAACTCTTACGCGAAGGGCATCCATCGGCAGTCAAAGATGCTGCCTCGACGATATTGAGTCTTTGTACGGTATGTGCGAATAAAGCGAAGTTTGTAGAACAAGGAGCAGTGGAGGTGATTCTGGAGAAGATCAATGATGGCATATTTGTAGACGAGTTGTTGGTCATTCTCGCAATGCTATCGACGAACCGAATGGCCATAGAGGAACTTGGTGATTGTAAAACATTGCAGAGTTTGCTTCGGATCATAAGACATAGTAGTTCGGAATGTAGTAAGGAGAACTGCGCTGCGATCCTGTACAATGTGTGTTTAAAATATCTGACTTTGCTGATGGTGATCAGAGCTGAAGAAATTAAAAAGCAGACTTGCAAAACTTGCAGATACTGGGACTACAAGAGCTCGAAGGAAGGCCATTAGCATCATTTTGAAAATACATAAAGCTTTTCCAGCCATGTCTATAGGAAAGTATTTTTGACTAATTGAAATTCTTTTTAATTAACTTTCAATAAGTATTAGATTAACCAATTTCAATAACAAATTTGTATTAAATTCAAGGATTTATAAGTTGACCAATTTCAAATACAATTCATAAGCCATTGCCAAAACCTTAAGATTGAACATTGTTATATATTTTCTGTAAAAGACCTTTTCTATATGCATCTCTCTTGGGGAATAATTTCACGTCGATTATTTTGGGAAAAATGTTAAATTTAATTTATTAATAAAAATGGAAAAATAAAAAATGTTCATATTCAATTTTTTTAGAATAGAGTATTAAAATATTAGATCCTATTTTTTAATTTCTAGATCCGACACTTACTATATATTAATAAGCTCATGTGATTTGTTATAGTTAAATCTACTATTGACATTAATACTTATGTACCTTGCTAGCCCATGGATAGTCATAATAACTCTTAGACTAACATCAATACCAAGAGTTGGTATATAAGTCGTCATACAAGGCTTAAGATGGGGACTCTCTTTGGATCCCTCTATATCGTTCATCATCTTCTTTAGTTTGGTAGAACCATATTTGGTCATGACTTTTCATTAAAATCAAAAGGAATGAACCATTTAAAACCATCGCAATCTTACTTCTATCATCAATACCAATTTCCTTAAGAAATGTTCCATTAAACATGTTTTGGACAATAATTAAGGTGTTCAACAACAATAATCTTCCAATAGTTGGTGGAATATTACCAGAAAAGCTGTTGACAGATCCAAGTAAACTAGACTCGACAATCAGTCCATTTCATTAGGGATTGGACCGACAAAATAGTTCTGAGAAAGGTCTAGAATTTGAAGCTATGAACAATTGTAAAACGTTGAGAACTCTCCGGGAATAAAATTGCAGTAAAGGTCAAGGTAGAGGAGGTTTTTAAGGTCACATATAGTAGGATATTTTATTGGTTGGAATCTTAGTCTAAGTCTTTACATGCATGTAAATGTCCCAGTATTTCTGTCCTACCCCATCATTAATGGAGCGTGAAAATATTTTAACCATCATTTTAAGCAAAATCATTGAAAGAACTCATTAAATTGTAGATCAAGTAATTGTGTCTGTAGATATGCATATAATCAATGATTAAAAAAAATTTAAAACAAATATTATCGATATTAAAATAATCTGCATAAGAGTAGGAGCCCTTTAGTTCGTTAAAATTTGTTGAGTCAATTAGTGGGTCCCTTCCATATTAGTTAATAGGCTATATAAGCCCACATTTTGTATTTGGGTTAATACTTTTAGTTTTATTTAATAAAATAAATTTGATCTCTTCTTTGTAAATCGGTCAGATATTTAATTTATTTTTAAAATTGTAATATAATCTCCTTAATAATAATTGACTTTTCAATCAAGTAAACTTAGGGTTTACTTTTCGATCAAGCAAACTTAGGTATGTCATTCATCTCTCGCGTATATATAATACTTGTATTTTCAGAAGAGTGGTTCAGTTTTGAATCAAGCGAACTTGGGGTTGAGAAATCCTTTTGTTTTCAATCAATCAGTCAAGGCAGTGTTGATAATGGCAAGCGGGGGACCTCGATTTCTAATGACGGCGGATTACTCTCTGACTCCAACCAAGGCTCCTCGTATTTCCCAGATCGAATTTCTACTCCATATTCGAACGTTTCTCGAGGATGATAATGGCCGTTTCCGAGAGGATCATTCACAGGATTTCTCCGTTTGGCCGGAATTTGTATTCGGCTCCCGTCGACACCGCAACAACGTCGCTCGTCGTTTACTCGAAGCCGGATGGCTCGATCAACGCGGCCTTGAAAGAATATTGGATCAAGTTTTCTCCGAATCAAATTCGATTATAGAAAAAGAGAAGAAGAGTCGCAATAGTAAGGGATTCGACAACGTGATAAGGATAATATTTCAAGTTAAAAAGTATGTGAGGCGGGAACGCTATGATGAGTTAGCGGCGGCAAGGGCTATGGAGTTGTCGATGCGAGAAGCTCCAAAGCTAGTTCCGGCGACTAAAGAATCGATCAAAGCTTTGAAGAAAGTGAAGCTTGTTGAAGGTTACGGCGACGGTATTGAGTGCATGATTTGCATGGAAAAGTTAGTGCGGTCTAAAACGGAGGTTGTAACTTCCATGCCATGTTCTCATCTCTTCCATGGAGACTGTATCGAGAGGTGGCTGAGTACCGGTCATCTCTGCCCATTGTGCCGCTTTCCGATGCCGACTGATGCCGTAAAACATTAGGGTTTTTTTTTTAATTTGATTTGTTTTGCGATGTTCGCTGTAAACGTTAAAGGTTTAAATATATATATGGGCAATGCTACAGTTTTTTTTTTTTTTAATAATTGTTATTGTTTATGTATGATCCAAATTGAACATGATTTTTCTAAATGATTATATATTTTATGGTGTGAGTTTAATTTTATTTAAAACTTCTTTTTTAAGAACGGAATTATTTTATATGTTTATTTTTCGATTAGATTTATTTTATGATATTGACCTAAACGTTCATATTTAAATCTATGCAATAAATGCTACCATTTCTATAGGGTAAAATATATAAATGGTCACTGAACTTTTCAGGCGCTTGTATTTAGGTCCCTTAACTTTTAAAACTTGCAACACAGTCATCAAACATTTAGTTCATTTGCAATATGGTCCCTGACATAACCGGTTGTTTCACTACCGTTAGAAGAAGATAACGTGGCACATGGGGAAATCGTTTGCAGCTATAACAATTAGGGTAAAGTATATAAATGGTCACTAAACTTTTTAGGAGCTTACATTTAGGTCTCCCAACTTTTAAAACTTGCAACACATACACCAATTATATTATGAACCCCAAATTCTAAAATATTTCAATTACATTCTAAACCCCAAATTCTAAAATACTTCAATTACATACTCAACCCCAAATTCAAAATCCATTCTCAAAATCTGCCATATCAAATTAAACTTGAAGCAACAACTCTAAACCCTCAAAACATAACCCTAAATGCTAAATTCCCCCACCAATTAACCCAAATAATCAACAACAAAAAATCCCCAAATAAAACCCCCATGTCCTCTTCAATTAGTTGCATTTGGTTTTCAGTTCGACACATTTGATTATTTACCCTCTTTGTTATTGTCGTGGTCTGAGTGATTTAGGTGGTTTGTTTGGGGATTTTGTTGTTGTTGATTATGTTGGGTTAATTGGTGGGGGAATTTAGCATTTAGGGTTATGTTTTGAGGGTTTAGGGTTACTACTTCAAGTTCTATTTGATATGATAGATTTTGAGAATGGATTATGAGTTTGAGGTTGAGCATGTAATTGAAGTATTTTGGAATTTAGGGTTTAGAATGTAATTGATGATTGTGTTGCAAGTTTTAAAAGTTGGGGGACCTAAATGCAAGCTCCTGAAAAGTTTAGTGACCGTTTATATACTTTACCCTAATTTTTATAGTTGCAAACGATTTCCTCATGTACCACGTCATCTTCTTCTAACTGCGGTGAAACGGTCGGTTACGTCGGGAACCACATTGCAAACGAACTAAATATTTGATGACCGTGTTGCAAGTTTTAAAAGTTAGGGGACCTAAATGCAAGTGCCTGAAAAGTTTAGTGACCATTTATATATTTTACCCTTTTTTATAATGGTTGTCATTTTTATGTATGATCTACATTGAATTTGATTTTTCAAAAATGGTTTTATATTATGTTTGAATTATCGCACATATTATTAATTATTTTAAAAAAGCATCAATATATCTGTGAATTTCAGGTATGTATATCACTTTATATTATCTTTTGCAATGCTATATATTTTCTATAGGTTTATCATTTTTATGTACGATCTACAATGAATTTGATTTTTCAAATTGTTTTATATTATGGTTTTATATATATTTTTTATTTTATAAAATTGAGAACGAATGATTCTATATATTTGTTTCTTTTTCTACAAAATTAATTATATATAGTATATCAATAAAATTAATATTTTATTTATAACGTTAATTTAATTTTCTAATCCGTAGTGAAAGCATACTTCAATAAGTTTTAAGTTTAATATTATTCAAATTCTATTAATAAAATAATAATTTTCAGCCTCCATAGGAGACGTTATCCGTACAGATGACGGCACATGGCTCGTCGGCTTCAATAAAGCGATCGGAACCTCCTCACTTTTGCTAGCTGAACTTTAGAGTATCTTCACTGGATTCCAACTAGCATGGGACTGCACAGCTCCAAATCCAATCGGACAATGCACAGGCAGTTCATCTGCTCAACGAACACGACGCCCACCACAGCCCCTACCCCCTGGTTCGAGCGATCAAAGCAGCACAAAAGCGCAACTGGTACACTGAGTTCACCTGGATCCCACTTGAAGGAAACATGGTAGCAGATAAAATGGCAAAATTTGAGCCAGCCCCCGATTTTAAACTCTCGGTCTTTCCCCACACACCTCCAGTAGTCCTCCCCTTGTGGAGCGAGACATCTCGGACCCACTTTACGTTAAAGTTATTACTAGTTAGCTAAGGCTATGCCTTTCTTTTTCATTCAAATATATATATATATAATTTTTAATGTTAGATACAAAAAATAATATGAATGAGTTAGTTTGCATCTATATGAAAAACAAACAAATGGATGAATTTAGGACAGCTGGAATACCGAATTAAAAGGATAAAATATAATTAAAAATCAAAAATAAAAATAAAATTAATTAAAATTATGAGATGTAAGTAGATATTTATTTATGCATATATTATAATAAAAAGAATTAAGGGGCAATAACCCAAGATAAAATATAACTCCGTCCCTAAATAAATTACCTACAAGGTTTACAAATTTTAAGCGGAATTGGTTTAAAATAAAAATTTAAATGAATTAATTCAACATTATTCTAATTTGAAGAATCACCGAAAGATAATTGAAGACACAATAAAATGATTCTTTTTAATTCTTTTAAGAGAGAGAGAGAGAGAGAGAGAGAGAGATGCCTAAAACCTGTTTCCTTCTTCAATAGGAGACATCATTTTATAGGAGGCTCAGACGTACTAGCACAACACAGCAATGGTCTCAGTGAAACAGTTAAAGTATATCAAATTGAAAGCCTGGCAAACTTCATACTCCAATGGTGTGATTTACAGGTTAATACCATTACACATCGAAGAGTGTATGTTCCAAATTCGGGCATCCGACCTTGGAACACTTAAAATCCACGCAAAACAATGCACGACGGAAGAATTTATGATACCGAACAACAAAATCGTAGATGCAGTATACATACTGTATAAAGAAAAACATTAAAAAGATCGATTCACACTTGTCTCGTCCTGCAATGCAATTCTCAATGCCGAATGCTTCGAATCTGCAAAAGGTTGCTCTGAGATCACTTGAGAATGAATATATATAGAAGTGGAACTTTGTTGTCATGCTGTCTTCACTTTAAACGTCTGAGCTTTTTTGCTGCATCTGTGATGCTCTGGCTTATCTCGGGATGTTTAGACTCGAGCAATTTATCAAGTCCAAGGGCAGCTTCAGGTACGCGAAGCTCCTCGATGTAGGACTCCGAACAAAGACCAAAAATTACTAGGTTGACCTCTCCCTCCAGTTGAAGGCAAAATAGGTGGCTAAAAACCTGAAAGGCAAGCACAACATTACAAAATTCTAATCATATTATACGGTTATGTTCTTAATTCTCACCTCTTTCATCATTGAAACAAACGCATCCTTAATGGCAGGAGACCTTGAAACCAAATTAATAACAAAGAGACCTTGCTCGGAAAGAGCATCTTTTATATTTCAAAGGAAAGACTCTTCCACAAAATCAGCAGCCGGACATCTCAAACCAGAACTATAAAGACAATATGACAGAGGTGATTAAAAAAATATTTGAAGACTTCTAGATTTTCAATGACAACTGATGCAACCGTTAATAGTGCCATTCACCTCGAGTCTGAAGAGTCCACATCAATGATAATTATGTCATTATTGGTACTTCTTTGGCTTTCTGGATCTGGAAGTTTGCAACTTCCATTGGAAGAAAGAAGTACTTCCTTGTTCAAAGCATCCTTGCTTTCATGAAGAGTATTGCCAGATAGGTTTCCTTTGTCCCGGACAAACTGGATGCCATCGGCAATATGTACCTGAAAATTTGGAAGGCCAAACATTTTTAAAGCTCTATTTTGAGCAAAAGATTGAACCAAAAGTCAAATCGTGAAATTAATTTATAATAATATAAATATGCAGACGTGTCAAGGTACAGTCGGTTACCTTCAATCGTTTATCTTCAGTAAAACCAAAATAGTCCCTTGCAAGGTTAAGCATAATAGGATCAAGCTCTGAGGATAAAAATTCCATTGCACTATTTCCATCAAGTGGTTCAACTCCAAATCAATTATAAGATTCAATAGATCTTTTGAAAAGCAATTCCTTTTGAAAGACAACTTGAGGGATCTTTAAGGGAGTAATGTAAAAATTACCTCAATTTGCATAAACTGCATACATCCGTGAAGAAGCATAGGAAGTAAACCCGCACCAAGATCTATTACAACTGCGTTAACCTGAGATGACTTTAAACATGAGCAGTACATCACGGAAAAAAAGTATTGAGAATTCAGACAAAAGCTCAATCATGTGGCATGGCCTATTGAGACAAACATTGTGCAGCAAAGTTTTGACTCCAAATCTAAAAGTTGGCTAAAGTAGGTCCGTCTGACACATCAATGACCCATTGTCAAATCAAATGACCACCAAAATATTCTTCGGTATACAGCCATAACTTTTTATATCCAATGAGAGCTGGCAATTACAGATATCTCTATAGCTGGAGGGAAAAATCTACTAAACATTCCATATAGAATAGAGTACGAGCCTTACTCTATTTCCCGCAGAAGCCACACTGGAATGATTGCTGTATGATAAGAACTAGCCAAATAACCATGATAGACCTTCATCTTGCTGCTTGATTCTAAATAAGAAGAAAAATATGTCAGAATGACAAACAAACAGTTTCATAAACACTTCCTTCAAACAAACTCAATCAGAGCATTATATAAGAGTTACTCGAGAAACTACCAAAAAATTTGAAAGAAAACATATTACCACTATTTCTTCTCTGTGCCCCTCTTCGCTTGGTTTTGGAAGATGAACTGGCTTTCTTCATGTCTGTTTCATAAACACTTTTTCGAACAATCCATCCCTAGTCAGCAAAGCTTCAGACTGTACCAAACCCTCTGTTCTCTGGAAGATAAGG